GAGATGTTTCCTCTGTAATGGCACAAGATGAGCTAAAGCCAGCTTGAGAACTGAGTGGGGACCCATCGAAGGGCGGGCTATTTCAGCTGCTGCCCATTCTCAGTATTCTCTTGCAACCTGTTTTTTGCTCTCCATAAATTTAAAGGGTAATCCAGATGTGGACCCCTTGCTCACGGTGCCTAGAGAGATATCAGCTATGCCTCACTGATGATGCTTAACAAGGCTGAAACGATCGTCTGGGGTTGTTGTATCTCTCATGCAAAGGGAACTTGCTGGCATTTTGGATCTGGACTGCCCGTATGGGTGGGACCAGTCTGATATGTTTCAGAGATATTCCCTCTGTAATGGCACAAGATGAGCTAAATCCAGCTTGAGAACTGAGCGGGGACCCACCGAAGGGCAGGCCATTTCAGCTGCTGCCAGTTCTCAGTATTCTATTGAGACCAGTTTTTTGTTCTCCTTAAGGGGTTAATATACTCAATAACTATAAGATAGTAATAAAAAAAACTGCAGGTAAAAAATATCTCAGTATCTAATACGTGTTGCACCAGTAATAACTGGCTTCCTAAGTCAGCCTGCAGTGACTTTTACCCTAAAAAGGAGCTCTGTTTTCACCACTAGTACCCTGGCTTTTGGAATTCTTATCATTACCACGTCAAAGGTTAAACGCCATCTAAAAGAGTTGAAAGTGCAATAAAACACAATGGTTTTAAAACTGTGTTTTTTTAATAAGTTAGTTTTATTGCACAAAGTGTTTTGATGGAATCTGTTTGATATTTGGCATAAGACAAAGTGTTCGTTATTTCTGTAAATGTACTTACTGTTAAGGTATAGAAAAGTATTAATTTCATTCTATATTATTTGTTTATTTAGTGTTCAAGGTTAGCAAATTTCTCATTGACAGGAGAATGTATGTCCTTAAACAGTTTTGGGAGTATCTGTGTAAAGAAAAAACTTGTACCATGAATTTCTGGCAGTTGTCTTCTAAATATGTTAAACAGGTTTAAAACAGGTTTGCAATGGTTTTACTGAATATAAGTATGTACTTTTTCTTAGAATGTGAATTTGGTGTGTTTTCAGAATTCCATCTAGGTATAGTTTTGTATTAAATGAAATAAATATTTTGGGAGTAGGGTTATGGAGAGCAGTTCCAGCACTTAGACAATGACTCCGTTTTGGCCGCAGTGCTCTGAGTCATTGAGAAGCTCCTGGAGACCACGAGGACACACCTAAAGTGTTTGTACTTGATACCTCAGCTAAGTGAAGGGGCACAAGGCTGAGCAGTGAGATTTCCCCTTGAAACTTGGTGAAATTGAACCAACCAAGACTATTTCACATCTTCCTCAGTGGCTATGGATCCCCCAAGCCACTAAAATATTGTTTAATGCCTTGTTGGCATTAATGATTTGCTTCAGAACTTTGTTACTGACTAAATAAGAATGTGCAATTTCAAAAATTATAATCTGTAAGAAATTATGACCCTCTTACAAGGTTATTCTTTTTGGGAATGTGTGACAAATAAGACACAAATACAAGTGTATAAAATAAATGTATTATATTGATTTGGGATACTGTTCCAAATTTTAAACAGAAAATACATAATACACATTATAACCATATCCAGTCCAAAACCAAAAGATACATGGTAAAAGGGTAGTGATGTCCCGAACGGTTCGCCACGGACGGCGAACATATGCGCTGTTCGGTCCACCCCCTATGTCATCATTGAGTAAACTTTGACCCTGTACCTCACAGTCAGCAGACACATTCCAGCCAATCAGCAGCAGACCCTCCCACCTCCTGGATAGCATCCATTTTACATTCATTGTGAAGCTGCATTCTTAGTGAGCTGTCTAGGAGGTGGGAGGGTCTGGGAGGGTCTGCTGCTGATGACAAATAGGGGGCGGCCCAAACAGCGCATATGTTCGCCATCCATGGCGAACCGTTCGGCAAACCATTCGGGACATCACTATAAAAGGGCAATACTTAAACATTTAAATGAAGATCATCCCCTTGCGCCTTCATCTTTGGTAGTCTGGAACAGTCTCTATCAGTTCACCATATCCTCCCCAAAAGAGACGAAGAGAAAGAGAGAAGACTAACCTCCTTGGGTGTTGTCCTTTTAAAGACTGATTCTTGCAGTCCTGAACTACATATCCCAGAATCCCTTTCACCTCCCAAAAAAGTGGTTAATCCAACCCACTTTTCCCAGAGAGTTATGTCTTTACAAAAGTTTTTTTCTTTCATCTCTTCCCCCCAGCTATACTATAACATTCTGTACGAAGTGACCAGTTAGGGTTGATTTCTGGGTAGATTGGACAGGATGGCTTGGAAAAACACAAACTTCATGGTTACATCTAGATGTTAATTACTCTGATCTTCTGATCTCCTGATAACATGTCCCTTGAAACCTTTATAGTAAAATGTTTTACCCTTTGATGACAACCTCCTTTCCTTTGATATATAAATGGTATTCTATTGCGAAACCAGATAGCTTATCTTGGCTTATTACACAGCAAACCTTTACAATGCATATGTCAATATATTAAATAGAAAATATTCATCATGGAAGGCTCCCTATTTCTTAAAAATCCATTCATTTTAATCCAAAATTTCATGACATAAAAAATAACTTTATTATTATTATCATTATTATTATTATGTTTTATAAAGCACAAGCACATTCTGTACATGGGTACCATTAATACAATTAAAAAGACAATAAATTTAAACAATACAAAATCTGACAAATACAGGAGGTTTTAAGGTCCTATTGTAACTATTTATTTTTGATTAAGCTACAAAACTTGTATTAGTGCATATATTTTATTGAATCCAGTCTTATCCTCTATACTGTTGGGAAGAATGGCACATATTAATGTTCCTTCTATATTTACCAGTGGATGAAATTTGTTATTACATAACTGATTTACCGTCGCTGTCAATTATGTACCTAAATATTTTTACTATAGCACCATGGAAATAAAATGTCCTATTATTATTTTTGTTTTTGTATTTTTGTTGTGTATGATGAATAATAAATTTCTGGTTTTAAATAGCAGAGTCATTATTTTTGTAATTTTTAAACCTTCTAAAAATGTACATTTCCAGAATTAAAATTAGTAAAGAATTGTAACTCTTACTACAATATAATTTTTATATGCTACTTTAAAGTCCTGATTATTTATTAAAGGTTTATTTATATTAGGATTTTATCTAAATGCATGTAACAAAACAATGGAATTAGCACTACAAAGCTATTACAGCAGTGACTGACCTCTACTGGTGGTTCTGAAAACTACACACTAGTAACTTGTTGCAACGTTTTAGAATAAAATATATTATCCCAGAATATACAGGATTATTTGCCAGAGTGAGAATTGTCAGGAGTTCAAATTGAATTTCAAATTTAAAGCCAACATAGCTGAATGGGAACATTTCTCCAGGTCAGCTATGCTTCCAGTTTTGTTATGTTGATCAAAATTCTTAAATTAATTTTGAATTCCCAACAATTCTCACTTTAGTAATTTACCCTTAAACTCACTACAGAAGTCAATTATCAAGTCAAAGTTGACATTATATGTTAGACATTTTGAACCTGATACAGCCATTTTGTATGCTAGGACACCATTTTTAAAGTTATGCCATTCTAAGAACATTAACAATGAGGAATAAGTTTTCAAGCTAAAATATTAAACATGTTAACATGCTGAGTCACATCCAGCCGAGGTACATACCCTCTTATAACCTCAGATAAACTTTTTTCTCCTTTAACTTATACCCATCTGCCACAACATTCGACTACCGTGGCACTTAATATCAATACTTACGGTTAGTTATAAACAAACTATAAGAATAAACTTCAGATTAAGTGATATTTCATAAATACCACCAACATAGACATTTCTAAAGATAACACATAATGTTTGAGTGCAGTGTGATATGTTTGCAGTGATGATTAATAAACATATAAGAGCATTAAGAGTGTATTTGTTAATCAGCAATTAATGGGGTTAAGCATTACACAATATCCATAATTTGGTAAGAATAATATGCGTTGTACGTCAGAACCTTGAAATTTGAAAGATAACTTACTAACCAATGAATTGTTTTGTTTTGGTTCTGTGCCACTCATAGAGATCTATTGAATCTATACCTTTATAAACCTTGTGCTTTAACCAATAAATTGACAAATTGCACCAGAAACTCTGTTTATCAATTTGATTATAACCAATAAATTGACAAATTGCACCAGAAACTCTGTTTTTCAATTTGATTATTCTTTCCACCCGGTTGAATCAACAAGGGTTTGTCCATATATTATTCAATTCTCCAGGTAAAGAGATGGTTGGATAACCGTAAGATGAATTTGGACAGGAAATAATCCTAACATTTAATTATTGCTTTATAGATGCATATTACAAATAGAATAGTGCTAATGAAAGGATCTTGAGATGTTACTCATGAAAATATGCTACATTATCTTGTTACTGATCACGTCTCTTGCTGTGCCCAATTAACTACAACACTGCAGATTCATTATACACTTGTAATACTCATTTTGATGTTTTGGTTCCCTTTTCACATTGTATGTTTGCATCTTTTTAAAAAATCTAAATTCTAAGTTCCCATGAGAATAAGGCTCATGTGTTTAAAAAAAATAATTATCTTAAATTATCTTAAATCTTAAACTAGTATTTTTACTAATTGCATTTACAGTGCTATATTATGTGTTGACACTTTATAAATAAAGTATAATAATAATAATAATAATAATAATAATATGGTTTAGATGCAAGTCCATGCTCTCCTTTCCATTCCCCCTTTCCATTATAGCAATAGACATAGTGCGATTAAGGAGCCCATTGGATAATTTATGTTTGTAAATGCAAGGCAGTGTTGTCTCTGTGATTGCTTTGTGGATATACATATAAATAGGCAAATTGAAATTCAGTGCCAGCCTCTTCTAACGTCCACGAAGATACCAACGTCGGGTTTCTTTATAATGTTTGAAGTAAATAGTTAAATATCCAAAATGGAAACAAAATTCCATAACGGAGAATGGAACCACCACTGTAACACGTAAAATTCATCTTAACGTTTACACCACCTCCTGTGGCAGAAAGGGATTTAAGAAAGCACAGAGAAGTGGTCCCACAACCACGAATTGCCTCTTCTTCTGACATGGCACCTGTGAAATTTAATTACATAATCTATATTATTATTATTATTTTTAAGTTGCACATGTTATCCTCCAAACCTCGATCTTAAGTGCCGTAAGGGTGGATTAAAGCAGCACATGCTAACTATTGTTTGTTTGTTTTTCAAAGATGAGACAGATATTTTTTTAATACTTATAATATAAACATGTATCTGCAACAATTATGGAAAAATTAAATATATATATATATATATATTTTTTTTTTTTAAATGTGATGTTAAAAATATAGATTTGGATGCAATACTTGTGTGCTTCAACTAGAGAAAAAATTCCAAATTGAGTAATTTATTTGTTCTTTAACATCAATAGGGTTTCTCTGCAGTCACCAGAGTGTACAAGGCTAGCCGCACTGTACCAAGCAACAACGTTAAAATGACTTAATTCCTTCTTCTGTCCTTTGGAGCTGAGCTCTTTGATGGGGTTGCATCAAAGTTCTATGTGTGTGATCACATACAATAATCAGACAATGTCTAAGTGCAAAGGCTCAGACACGGTCAATGGGTTCTCTTTGATTCTACGAGTCTTCACCTGATGTCACAACTGGCATCCAGATTGCCGAATCACAGCCATGTTATGCTAATGAGATATGACAGGATTTCTTTGGTTTAATATGCATTCACTATGTTTTACTAAGCTAACCAAAAGAGTCACAGATTAAATGTGTCTTACATCCTTGCAAAACATGGCGACAACTGATTAATAATTTTAATTTGTAATACTATGGAAGCAAATCAGGTTTGAAACTGTTTACTTAGTAGCTGGAATAAAAAAATAACAAAAAAATACAACATAACTTTATGTTTGAAGCATGTTGAATGCGAACAAAAAAGCTATAAATAAATAAATGGTTTGGTGAATATAATTACCTGATGTCTGCAAATTCCGAGAAACACATATAGTCTCATTCCCAGTACATTGTATTTCATTTGAGTAAGTACAAGAAGAATTATTTGAGGAGCAGCTTGGACATGTTCGTCTTTTAACTGTAGAATTACTATTTGGCCCTACATGGGAAGAAATTAGCAAAGATGATTTGCACAAAAAAGCTGTATGTAAATGCACAAAATAAATAAATACATACATTCATTAATAATAATAATATTTAATAAGACAAATTATATAATATGAATTATAGCAATATGTGAGAGCTGCTGGTCATGTCATGGCAATAATTCATACAAATGTTATGTCAGAGTTCGTTGGTGGTGTTCCATAAATCAACTTTAGGAAGATCTACCATTCTCGTACTTCCACCAGGCAGAAGTAAAATGAAGGCTTCCTGGTGGAAATTATTTTAGCTATTTAAAAGCCACAACTCACGTGGTTGTGAAGGATCATAGCAAGTGAGCATTTACCAACTCAAGTCTGTCACTTTGCTCCTTTATAGTATGCATACCATACAATATGAGATGCCATCCCATCATCCTTTATTTTAAAAGTCCTGTACGACCCTGAAAAAGGAGAGAATGGAGACACCAGATGCATTACAGAATGCCAGGTAGGGAATCGGGAGGGGGCTATTTTTAAAATGTAATTTCTTTATTAGGGTTAGACAGGTATAACAAGGAGGAACTGAGAGCCAGGTACAAAGCTGAGGGATCGATTATATAATATCTCTTTGGAAGGTGTCCTTTATCATTATGCAACTTTAAATACCATTATATGATAAATCAAAGGTTTTGCCCATTTCAGAGGTGAGGTTAAAGTGCATGCACACACTTTCAGGTATATCTGTTGGTCAAAGTCAGGAGTTGTTCTGGGGAGTAAGATGTAGACAAGCACTTACATGTAGGTATAGATGGAGTACAGTTGTTGTTAGCACAGCATTTTGATAAAAAACTAATCTTAGCTCCGGAATAACTCATGGTTCCATATTGACTGCACTTTCTCACTGGTTGACAGGATCTAATTAAATTTACAGTTTCTCCATCTGTGGACAACATGTTGAACCATTGTTCATATTAATATATTTAGTATAACAGAATAACCCAATATAGTTTACCAATGAAAATATTAGCTAATAAATACATTAATTAAATAGTAACGTCTCTGTTATTTACAACATTGAACGCATGATAACTTTCTTCATATAATCCTCAGTTTCCTTTTAAATTTATATTAAAGATTAATTAAATTACATCATAGTCTAGTTCTGACAAGGCAAGGCCAGGACAAATATAGCAAGTGAACAGGGTAGAAAGAAACTTTGTATTTATTTTCTACACTTTTCTGTGCTTTACCTATACTGACTGGCAGGTGCAAAGGACAGAATTTATAACAATGATTGACAGGGAGTTACGAGTATCAGTTCTAGATGCAAGATAAAGATGTGTAGGTTTCTGAATTTAATTAAATTTTTTGACACCTCACAAAAGTGAGTTTTGGTAAATATAGAGATAATTAAACAGCATATGTTTTTGGACAATTTATTTATTTTTTTAATCAAGTTTTTCTTTTTATGTCACATTCTCTATTTAATTCAGTTACAAAGTCCCCTGCTCATGCAGCCGATGTTTTAAAGCTCATATTTTTAACAGATTAAAATTCAGCATTTTTAATTCACTCGAAGTTTCACACCTGATTGCTTGACCTGTTTACTTATTTTTAGCCTTTTGGTTTACAATACACAAACTTGTTACCAAATAAGCTAAACTATTATAAGATAAAATGTATTACAAGACAAAATAAAATAAATAAAAACTGATTTGTATTATAAATCAAAAACTCTCCAGTACTTAAAGAAATATTTACCATACTCTTTATTTTTAAATTGTTTTAGATTATTCATTTTGTTTGAATTTTGCAGAATATAGAAAATATGAGTTTTTAAGTTATCGCTACACATTGCATACCTTTAGTGGCAGTTTTTGTAAAAATGGAAGCACAGACATATCCCTGTGGACAGAACACGCTGCTCCCTTTGCAGGATGTCGCACCTGATACAAAACACGATGTGCACTCGAGAACAGAACCAGCTAGAATACACAGATATGACAAAAACCCATGATACATGCAGCAAATGTGACATCATAGGATATTTACAGTCTCTTAAAGTAGATAAGGATATAATCTGTCCCTCACATACACAAAATGGGACTTTTGTAAATGCATATATATTATTTAAAAAATAGAGGTCAAAATAAAACAGAAAAATAAAGAGCTGCTAAAATCTAACAGGGGATTCCTTGTCTGGTGCTAAGATTAGTTTTATTGTTAGCATTATGTTACTTCCACTATGGACATTTGGAATTTCTTGCAAGTTTCAGTCTGATTTTATTTTGGCTAAGTTCTTTTTTTTTTTTTGGTTTTATCTATGATACATCAGATTTGGACTGTCTTTTAAAGTTTGTCCTAAAAATGGCCTCTATAACTAATGCAGATTAAAGAATTAGTGGTCAAGTGTTGGTCAGTATGTAGATCAAACTGTAAAAAACATCAAACTAAAAAGTAAGGAGGATTGGAAAGACCTAGCTACTAGAACCCAACATGTTTCCAACATTCTCCCCTCTTGTACCTGGGGTTGTGTTGCAGGAGTATGTAAAATCCTTGCTCACTCTGCTGGCATTCATTGAAATGTTAGCAATCTCACAAAACGCTCCTGTAGCACAACCATAAAACATCTGAACTCCTGAAAAAAATAAAATAAAGTTAGTAAGTAAACACAATATCAATAAAAAGTTGGACATGTCATATGTTTCATATACCTTAGTTACAGTGCTAATGAGCGCACAGGAGGGGATGGGAGTTAAGGAGGGCCAAGAGGGGGGTGTGACGAAAGCAACTTCACCACTGGTTTTTTGGAGGGGCCTGTTTGCCAGCCTCCTACCCTGTGACTATGGCCCCTGTGATAAACCTGGCTAAAATTCTTTAAACAGGCTCTGTTCATGTGAGTTATGTACTTTTGTACTCCAGACAGAGAGACCGACCGTTAGCCCTGATTATATGGAACTGTTTTGGGCTTGGGGCCATGCTTGCAGTCGGTCAAAACTAGGACTTCCAGGAAATTCCTGAACCCCTAAACTGATCTGCGTGATTTTCAGATATGTTGTTCACCCAGATCAGGGCTATCAGGGGATGTGACTTTTATGGGGCTATGTGGAGGAAGAGAGGTTTACCCACTGGAACCTGGAGCCTTATCGTAGGACCAGTGTTGGTAGGAGACAGCGAGACCCTAACTAAGCTGCGGCAGTTCGTGGCATCTGCAGTACTTATGGTGTCTGGAGAAGTGCTTGGAGCCCTCGGTAAGCATTAGGAGCATCCGTTGGCGGAGGTACCCAACCGGGCTACAGGAAGCTCTGTTACAGGGGGCAAAGAAGGGCACACGAAGGGGGCTAGAGAGGGCACAGTAGAAGGGACAAATAAGGGCACACCAGGGGCGGGGGCTAAAAATGGCTCAGGAGGAGTCAAAAGAAGGATACATGAGGGGAAAAAGAATGGCACAGGAGGGGAGAGGACTAAAAAGGTCACAGGAGGGGGACAGAGAATGGCACAGAGGGCGAGGGGGCTGAAAAGGGCACAGGAGGGTGGACAAAGAAGGGCACATGAAGTGGGACAAAGAAGATCACAGTTGGGGGGGGCTAATAAGGGCACAGGAGGAGAGGGGGCCAAAAGAAGGACACAGGAGAGAAAGGCACAAATGCAGTATCCAGGAGGTGAGGGGACTAAAGAGGGCACAGGAGGGGAGGGAAAAAAAAGGGGCACATGAGGAGAGGGGACAAGAAAAGGGCATGGAAGAGGGAAAAAAGACACACAGAGGGGCTGTGGAACAATATACAGAGGGGCTGGAGGCACAGAGAGATACACAGAAGGTATGAGGGGGGACAGAGAGACACGCAGAGGGGCTTAGGGGGGGGGGTAGAGGAGCCAGGGAAGAGGAAGAGGTACACAAAGGGGTTGGGGAGGGAAACAGTCACACAAAGGGGCTGGGGGAAGAAAGACACACACAAAGGGGCTGGGAGGAACAAAGAGGCATGCAGAAGGGCTGGGTGGAAGAGGCAGCCAGCTGGCGACAGCCACCAGCTGGCCATAGCAGCAGCTTGTCAGCAGCAGTAATTAAGGTGAGAAGAGCCAACTTGGGCTGGCAGTCAGAGAGCTATATAATATTACTATATTGTGAAAGGAGGCCAGATTGTTAGAGGGCCCATTCGACTCAATTGTAGTCTCTTATGGGTTCTTGAGGGGGCTCTTTCTAACATACTTTTTACAAATGTATGCAGTAAATATTCTTGAAAACATTTAAAAAATGGTGGGTATTTTTTTACATTTAAAATCTAGGGTGGAGACGGGGTGCCAATTACAGGATCCTCCACCAAATGTTCAAGGTATGCCCCTGAGCAACATTGAGAATTTTGATAAATGGGCCTATCTCTCATTTGGGGTGATTGTAGCAGTTTAACATTTCAAATTACTTCATAAATATATACTACTTTCAAAAGTAGACACCTGGGAGGTTATCATAGCTTTAGTTTTTTAGCTTTACTTCACAGCCATTTTTTCATCAGTTTCTTTCAAAGTTTATGATATTAATTTATTTTTAAAATACCCAAGTTGTGTTCTGCTATGTGTCCTGAGTACAGCCTGTACACATATCGTCATGTGAAAATATGTATCATGCATTTAGGAATTTGTTCTGTCTCATCAAGTTATGCATTTATGTTCTTTATAATTAAGACTTGGGCGTGGAGACACATGTCCAGGCTCTTTAAATGTTTCTATGCCCAAGCCTTAGTGCGTGCTTATTGTGTCTGAATTGCTATTGAATGATACAACCTGCAAAGATTTTTCCCATAGGCCTTCCTTAAGAAATGGGTTTTTAGGCACTTCTCAAACAATTGACTAGGGGAGAGTCTGATGGCAGTAAGCAGGCTATTCCATAGGAAGGGAGCTGCCTGCGAGAAGTCCTGCAAGTGTGAGTTGGGCGTACGGGTGCGAGCAGTAGACAGAAGAAGAAGGTCACGGGCAGAGCGGAGAGACTGAGAAGAGGCATACCTATGGATTTGTGAGGAGATATAAGAGGGGCTAAAATTACTTAGTGGTTTATAGGTATGGGTTAGCACTTTGAATTAACTCCTATAGTATACAGGAAGCCAATGTAAGGACTGACAGAGGGGTGAGGTGTGAGAGGACCGACTAGAGAGGAAAATCAGTCTGGCAGCTGCATTGATTACAGACTGTAGTGGGGCAATACAGTTTTTGGGAAGACCAATTAGGAGAGGGTTACAATAATCCATGAGAGAAATTACTAGAGCATGGACAAGCTCCTTAGTAGCATCTTGCATGAGCTCAGACTGTTCTCTCCCCTCATAGTCATTTATTTTTAAGTCCTATGTGTGTCACTGTAATTAAATAACTGTACCCAGCAACATCTCATGAGTACAACAGCCCACCCTACGTATATTTTGCAAATGTTTAATTCTAATCTTAAACCTAATCCTAAACCTAACCCTAATCCTAACCAAAATCTGAGCAACAGTGCCTCGACAGAGGGATACCCATGCTGATTTCAGCACAGGGTTCCCTTACTGGTCCTAATCCTCTTAATCCTCACCCTAATCCTAAACATACACTGAATCCTAATACTAAAATCTTCCCTAATCCTAACCCTTGCTCAAATAATAGCATTAGAGGGATTACTCTGCACTGTATGCTAGCAACATGAGAGGGATTAGTTTCCACACTGTTACCAACTTAGTTTGCTGAAAACTGTCACAATATGATTTAAAGTCCCACTGTGGCCATAGTCACTCATAGTGTGCAGCACTGGAAAGCCTCTGCAGCCAGTGATTTGGGTCTTCAAAGACTACGCAGGTCTCCCTATCAGAAAAAAATATCTGGTGATCTCAGAAATTATGTCACTGAGTTTGTGGCTGAATCTGAAATTTTAGCCTTGGTGATTTAAAGGGCTGTATCACAGATCATCTGTTAGTATAGGGTTTATTAATTCTGGCCCTAACTGACAGAGGGGAGTCCCAGGCATATTATTATTATTATTATTTTATTATTTATAAAGTGCCAGCAAATTCCGTAGAGCTGTACAATGGGTGAACTAACAGACACGTGAATGTAATCAGACAAATGGACGCACAGGAACAGAGGGGTTGAGGTCCCTGCTGAATGAGCTTACATGCTAGAGGGAGTGGGGTATAGTGACACATAGGGTATAAGTAGGATATATGAAATAGGTTTCTAGAAAAGTAATCACTGAGAACTTACTAGGTTAATTTTGACAGTTGAGATGAAGAGATGAAAACCCGCTAACAGTTTAAATGATATTCCTTCCTGAAGAAGTATGTTTTCAAAGATTTTTGAAGGAGTGGAGACTGGGTGAAAGTCTAACGGAGAAGGGAAGGGAGTTCCACAAAAAAGGTGCAGTCCTGGAGAAGTCTTGAAGGTGATCATCAGATGTGGGAGTACGGATAGAGGATAGGCGTAGGTCTTTGGCAGAGAGCAGGGGCCTCAACGGGACATACTTGTGTATTAGGGAGGATAGGTAGGTTGGAGCAGCATTATGTAGAATCTTAAATTGAGCGATATATCTAACTTGAAGCCAATGTAGGGACTGACAGAGAGGGGAGGTTTGGGAGGAAAATGAGCCTCGCCGCCGCATTCATTATAGATTGTAATGGGGCAATCTGGGAACACGTAAGACCACTGAGAAGGGAATTGCTGTAGTCAAGGCGAGTATGAAAAACAGCATTTACCAGCACCTTTTAGCTGTGCCTGGTGTTAAGTAAGGGAAGATGCGAGCTATGTTACCAGTTTTTTTTTTTATCCCATTCTGAAGAAGCCACTTATGGTGAAATGCGTTTATGGTTATTAATTCTGTATTTTACTGTGTATTTTAGATCAATAAAAGTTTTTTGGCTACTTTATTGTACCAATCCTCTTTTTATTGCACTCTTTATGCACTTTAAACAACTTTTTTTTACCTATTCCTGGCATTTTAACCTTTCCTGGTTACTTTTACTTCCACTGGCAATTTTAAAGTTCCAGTACTCCAAGAAATCCTAGGTGGGGATCATACCACCAGCGCCTATCCATAGAGCAGTACCTCTGCTCTATCTTTGTGAGTATTATTTTATTTTCTCTACTACTCTCTTAACCTATCACAATTGAGAGCACTATTGCTGCTTTTTATTCTTCTATATTGGAGCCTTGGATCACCAGACGGTGCTGACGGACGTATCGCCGCTACATATCCTATAAGCGGGGATTATACCGCTGTACGCTATCCACACCAGAGCTGGCCATAGCTCCCTCAAATGTGAGTTTTTTACCTCTTCTTATCTGCACATTGAACCACATCAAAATTGAGAGCACTATTGTTGCTTTCTGTCTTTCTTTTCCGAGTTCTGGACTACCAGACGGTGTTGACGGAGACCCCCTCCCTACATATCCCATAAGCGGGGATTATACCGCTGTACGCAATCCACACCAGAGCTGGCCATAGCTCTCTTGAATGTGAGTTCTTTACTTTTTGTTACCTATCACACCCTGAACTTTCATACTATACCATTAGTCGCCTCTACCTCTCTTGTATTTACATATACGGAACGGTCTACACTAGACGCATCCACAGAGGAACTCTATCAAGTATCCTAGACCATCTATTGGCACCCTAGCAATACTTTACTGGACTATCTACCCTTATTTGGCACAGCCCTTCCATATCTTTTTGTATCTATCCACCGAAGGACCCGAGGGGTTTTCCTTCATTTGGGTTGCTGCCTACCTTGACTAATTTTGTGATTACTAGCGCTGAATTATTTTTGTGTTTATGTTACCAGTTACCAGCAGGTATATGGTCCTCACTGGTAAAATACGGCATGACGGAATAGGGTAGGATATCCATGATGGAATAATCCCTTTATCGGTTGTTAAGTGATTGAGGGATCATTATTTAGTTGGACAAAACATTTACTTAACAAGAATGAGATATTGTGAATAATGGGATATTTTGTTGTTTTCAAATTTAGTTTTGTAGACAATCTGTGCTACATTATAGTAAAAGAGAGAAGAATATATCCATTAATGCATATGATTTTCTGTCCACATCGATAGAAAAACTGTTATTAATCTCCAGAAAAAAGTTAATTTAATATTTATTTAATATAATAGAAACCAGTGTCTGAACTGAACCTTTTCATATAAAGAAAACATACATTATTTTCACTGACATAAAAACCAAACAATCTGTTTTGTCTTGAAATCTGTAACAGGATCATTCACTAAAGTGAGAAGTGAAGTGAGAACTTTGGATCTCAAAATGAATTTCAAATTTAAACCCATGGTAGCTGGACGGGAAGCACAGCTGAGTTAGAAAGCTTTGTCAGTTTAGCTAGTTGGACATCAGATTAGAAATTCCCTTTGAATTTCCTTTGAATTCTCACTCTAGTGCATATCCTTCTCGGTGTTGACTATAGACTGCAGAATGAATTGGTGAAATTGTTAATTTCCATATAGAAAATATTGCATTTGTACTGCAGAGTTTACCAATATAATTGACTATTTTGAACTACACAAAGTGGTTTTGATATTCTGATTCTTCAGTGGCTGTGTTGCTGTTTAATAAAAAAGTGTGTGAATAGTTAATATCCCTGAAACTTATTTCAAATGAAGTTTTAGTGTGCAGCTTTTACAAAGCAGATACAAAGACTCAATATATATATACGATAAACAAAATACCTGTACCAATAGGTATGTTTTAAAATGTACTATCTCAATCTTCCATGACTCATATAGCCTAAAACCTAGTTAAACAAAAGAAATATTTAACTATATTGCAACACAGTATTACAGATGACAAAAGTGGACTCATGTGATTGCTTTATAGGCCAAAAGGCTCGGTTATTTTTTTTTTCCTGAATCAATTTGCCTTTAAAATAAAATAATGTGATGTTGTTGTACTTCTGGATAAAGAAGGACAATAAAATAGGAAAAAGAAAAATGCAAAAAGTATAAAATAAAACACATTACCAGAACTTGAATTTATAGTCTGGACACCACACACGTTCTCGTACCCCGTACAAAGAAGGCTTACTGAAGGAGTGCATGACGAATTTGTCCTTATGCAAGTAGGGCATTTCAGTCCATTTTGGGAATTATTGGATGGCCCTATAATGTAGAATGAATTGCATAATAAATTACATGCTTATGTTTGCCTTAATTATCATTATATATTTTTTTTAAACATATTGCAAGTTGTAAGACAATACATTGTATTGTTTGCTACCATGTTCTAGAATATACATGTTATTATTATCCAACTCAATGTTATTCATTTAATTTAATCAGAAGTTGAAGTTCGAGAGAGGCCTTCCTCATCCCTATTCATATTCACTCCCATGGCTGTGAGCCTGATAAATACATTATAATAATGTTACAGATATTATTATTAGGTAGGCACACGGGTCATTGACTGATCAAATGTGCATTCACATGGTGTAAACACAAGAAAATATTCATTAGGACATCAAACACCTGCAACAACAAATACACAATAATCTGTGCATTCACATACAAGCACACATTTACACTGTCATCCATGCATTCACACACACACACATACACACATACACACACACACACACACACACACACACAGAGTATCCATATACACTAGCATTCACCCAGAATTTACTTGTATAGGCCAACCACTTGGGATTTTCAGCTGGTTTGCACTACTCACATATCTGTATTTACAATATCACACACATACATTTTTACTTTGACACATTCAGTGACCACCTGAAGCTACATACAATTTCACTACCTTGCTTACAAACTTATGAGAAAAACAAAGGGGAATTCATAGGTTCAAAAAAAACCTAAGGCTAAACCCAAACCAAAACTTGATGACCCCTCCACTAACAGAGAGGCGGGGCTGTCATGACATATTACTGCCTTTGTATGTAATGTCCCATTTGTATGTAATGTTCCCTTTGTATGTAATGTTCCATTTGTATGTAATGTTCCCTTTGTATGTAATGTTCCCTTTGTATGTGATGTTCCCATTTGTATGTAATGTCCCCTACACTTGAACAGCATGCTGCTGTTGCTCTTTGGGATCTCAATGAAAACATAGCCACAAATAAGATCATGCTGCACAGCCAGGTAGTCAATATGATGCTGCCAAGCTGTCCACGTAATAGAAAGGTGAGCACTTGGGAGGCCCCACCACCTCCCCCTCAGTAGCATGGGTGAGCACTATATAACTATATTTTCTTTTTATAATCAGTGGCTGAATTGAGAAGATGCTGCCTGATGTAAAATTTAAAAATGTTATACTCCTTCCCCCTCATTAACTGTAGAGATCAGGGGCGAAAGAACATGGCATCTGGGGCTTCAAACCCCTAGTCAACCACCAAAGCAACACCTTTGGTTTTCATACTAGTACTATTTAAAAAAAAAAAAATACAAGACAGTGATAAAGCATAAGGGCCATCATGTTAATTGTAGAAACTCAAATACGCCCATGCATTCATACACACTATATACAACAAAAGGAATATGCTCCTTTATATTATTATTATACATGCCAACAGCTTTGCAGCACTATACAATAGGTGGACTAACAGGCAAGTATGTGGAACAGAGGGTGTTGAGGGCCCTGCTCAATAAAGCTTATATTGTAGAAGGAGTAGAGGGCCCGAAATTATTGGTACATTGGCCATCAAAGAACCCGGGACTCAGTTTTCCCTGAAGGCCAATAAGGTTGTCAGTTTATCCTTGTTTGCACAAATAGTTGCATGACATCTGTCCCTAGTTGCGTATGAATAAACCTTCATTTCCTGTTAAATTAAAATAAAAATTGCTAAAGTCATTCTAAGTATTCATTTTATTTCTGTCTTTCTTATCTATTTTTTTTTTTGACCAGGGTAAGGGCTCATTCCGTTTTTTTTTTTTTACTTTGAGGTAAACCAATATAAGACATCAGAGGACTAAACATCTTGCTGGTATGTAGTCCCTTCCATGGGTTTCTGTAAAAGCTAGAAAGAGTCTGATTTTAATAAAAAAAAGTCATGCTAAGTTTTTATCAGGTAGGATAGTGGAACAATGCTTCCTGGAATGCTATGTGGAAAAATATCCTGCCAACGATTAGATAGATAAGCAGGAGGTTGCTTACTTGCTTAAATGGCAAGAAAAACTGTGGACACCAAAGAGGAAGGCAGTTTTTCTTTACTACATTAATAACTCACATCATCCTGCCATACCAACTGAAGGAGAGAAATGACCAATGAATGCTACCATAGGACATAGCCAGGAAACAAAGACTGTTAAGGGAAGACACATTTGGAAAGTAGTACACTTTTTCAGAAATAAATCAATTTACTATTCAGTAGAATTGTTTTCGTTGTGAAAACAGATTTACTTACATGTAGGGTAAGCTGGGGAACAGTTGTCAGTAAGGCAGCAGGATACCCCAGTGTTGATTCTTCCACCAGAATAGCTCATACTTGCAACTGCATCACACATGGTCTGTGGTTGACATGATCTCACAACTCTTATATTTACTCCACCTTTTTGGGTATTATAAGAAATTAGCATTATTATAGATTGACAAGCATAAACTCAATGGTAACAATGGCCCAGAGGCTCTTGAACATTAGCATTATATATTTGCATACATATTTTAATGTATTTGTTATTTACTTCACTCTATTAAACTAAGGAGTTCAATGCAGATTTGGTATCCGATGGATAATGTTCTTTGGATTTAATACCAGTATTATATGTGTTTTCAACATATTACCATCTCAAAAAACGAAAATGAAGGAGGCTGACAATATATCCTGCACCTTTGGGCATGTTCCTCTGTGTCTCCACACAAAGGACCTCAAAGTCAAATTGCTACAGAAGTGCAACAACACCAGTATTCAAAATATAAAAGAACACTCTGGCACCAGAACCATTACAGCCTTCTTCATCCCAGACTAACCAGTGAAACCATTTTGATGCTCATCTACAACTTCCCGGATGGCCTTGCTGTGTCCAGCCTTGTCAAGCAGATGATCAGATATCAAATTCTTGTCTTGAACAAACTAACATTTTGCTTTTTCAGCTTGAGAGGAACAGAAGCAGCGTGGATGCTCAGCGGGGCCCCGGTAAGTGCCAGACTGCGCTAAGATGGTTTCACAAATTACATTGGTACAGTGCAAGGGCACTTGTGACACCATACCCAATAAAGCAGAGTCTATAGTGCTTAAAATGTTCCTTTAAATGATGTGTTATTCCACAATGAAAGTGGACCTGGCAACGTTTTGATCCTTTACATGTCTCTGTCAAACCTTTGTCAAAACTTCTATTGCAGATAGTCTATTAATGTCACACCTTTTTTTCTGCCTATCTGATCTGTTCCATCCCTTTTCTAGTGACGTGGTGATAATGGCTGACCTGTGTCATTATCCTCTGTCTGTTCTAAATCACCTTTGATATGAATGTTGTGAAGCTTGTTCAAATCCAACATTTTGTGTATAGTTTACATGTATATTGTGGTGTTACCAGGTCTGCTATATTATATTGTAGTGGCAGTGCTTATTTGTCATTCATTTGCTTACAGGGACACTGTAGTCACCAAAACAACTTCAAAATTGCTTCATTAAGCTAAAGCTGTTTTAGTGACTATTGCGTCCCTTTAATTAACAAGGAGTTTTTACAGCAAGCTTGCTGACATTGCTTCCACGTCTTGTCAATGTTACTTCTGGTAATGTGACAAACACTTTGCAAATTCTTTGGCATAGTTTGAAAAGATCTTTCTGTAGTGTATTATGTTGAATTCACTAAATGTCCAATGGTCCAGTTGATGTTTTGATAATTCAGAGGGATTGTAATTTCTTAAACTTGACTGTTAAAAAGAGTATTTTTTATAATATTAAGATTTTGCTATTCACTTATTGGTAGCCATTAATTATGAAAAAAATATGTTGCTATGTGTCCGTTGTGTACTAAATAGTTTTTTATTATTCTACAATAACAAAAAACAATAATAACCAACAAAAATAATAATAATGAGGATAATATTAAGGCTACGGGTGTCAAAAGTATGTCACAGGGGAAATTCCCTTGATGGCTCATGGCATTCCTCATGCTCGTATTTCTTATTCTGACAGCACTAGAAGTGTTATAAGCAAATAAAACCTTTCTGGGTTTTTCGCTAAAGTAAGAATTGTTCGGAATTCAAAGTGAATCCAAAGAGAATTTCAAATTTAAGACCAAATGGTCAAACTGAGAACACCTGACTTGGAGAATGTTTCCATTTTCACACTTACAGTTTTCTATTTCGGCCTTCAATTTAAAATTTACATTGAACCCCTCAGCAATTTGTGATATAGCGAATAACCCTGAATTTCCCGCAAGCCATTAACAAGTATTGCTTACCCAAGTCTTTAATTTCCATGAATGAAGATGCACAGACGTAATCAGAAGGACAAGTCACATTGTTTCCTGTGCAGGATCCATTCGAAGACAAGTTTGAGAAGCATGATATGCATGAGAGAGTGAATCCACCTAAAATATAAATATTAATGCATGAAATAAAAATTAGGACAGTGGAATGAAGTATTTTTTCTTTAAAATCACTGGAATTTAAACGCGTAGGATCACAAGAAGCATTCATATGAGTATTTGTATTCACAGGGGCATAGATTTACCAGTCTGTTCAGCAGATAAAGGGCCCTTCTACGAGAGGAAAAGTAGGCTTGCAAATTTGAAGCCAGGGATTCTCTTTTTCAGGATACGGAAGGAGAAACAAAGTCATTTTGATATCACTAATACTAAATAAAAAGAGCTTTAATCTAATTTTGACTTTGGGTCACACTGCTCAGAAGTTACCATTAGGCTTCAGAGAATTTTACTCCTCGAGTTGTAGAAAGGTAAATAATGCAAAAGGTAAATAGTATATGGCTGGAATGAGACCTGTACAGAGGCGTACCTAGGTTACATGGCACCCGGGCAGAAATGTATTTTTGCACCTTCACCCTTGTTGTAATATTATTTTTGTATCTCACTATGCACCCTTCCAACCCCCTTTTGTTAGGGAAATTACATGTTAACAATCATACACACAAAGACTGTGAGCTTTTTCAGCAGAGTCCTCAACTACCTATTGCTCCTGTTACATTTTGTTATTGTCTCATTTGGTAAATTCCCCTTTTAATGTAAAGCGCTGCGGAATAAGCTGGCGCTATATAAATACTACTACTACTAATAATAATAATTCATATACAAAGGCGTCCACACATACATTCATATACACACAGACATATGCAAACATGTGGGCACATATACACACAGACATATGCAAACATGTGGGCACATATACACACAGACATATGCAAACATGTGGACACATATACACACAGACATATGCAAACATGTGGACACATATACACACAGTCACTCATATACAAGCATATATTCATGTACCCACAAACACACATACAAACTTATATATAGACACAAAGAGATGCACACACATTATATACTGCCACTCATTCATATACAATATATAATTATATACAAATACGTTGAATTGAAATTTTCTTCCTCTGTATTATTTTTCTGTGAGGGTTCACAGTGGTCTCCACCTCCTACCTTGAAACAGAGATCTGGAGTGGAACGTCATCCACTGGGGCTGCTTTGACCAGTCTCTGTACTGATGCCCCCCTTCTTTCTGCTTGGTAGTGATGCCTGGACTGGGGTGAAGTCACATTCCAACTTCAGCTTCAGCACTGGATGTGCGAGGGAGCTGAGAAACAGTGGAGCATCCCCTCAGGGCCTGCTTCTCACCCACTAACAAGTCAGTAGCAGAACAAACACCAGATGTGCAGCACTCCAACCTGCAATGCATTGGTTAAGCAGGTGCCTGCTCTGGTTGGATGGGGGTAGTTCTGTGCATCCCCCCTGCTTTCTTTCATCATAGGTGAGCCACCATTGCTAAGTGAACTCCTGGGGCCATCTCTCTCTCTGTCTGTTCCATAAAGTATTTTTCAGAAAGAACATAATACTCATAATACACGTGTTTCGATATGGAGGGGAGGTCAAATCACAAAACAATGCCCATTCATATGACATATGGCATGAAGGATCATCTATCAACTCATTTGTTACGTGACTGAAATGTCAATCTCCTAAAAAGCAGAATTAGGGGGATCTGCTTCTTTTAATGATCTCTTCTTTCTACCTAAGCTGTTAATACTATTCCCTCTTTCAAATTATTGATGTGACCAGTGAAAGTCACCTGATAATGTTACTAGATTCTAAACTTCTGTATTTGTTTTCCCCTGAATCGAGTTTCGACTGAATTCTGGGCAATCGGTAGTTCTTCCAAAATCGCGAAACCTGAAAGGCTACGTCGATGAATCACGTAATAAATTTAATGGACAAACACTTTAATTTGATTAATTATTCAGAGTTCATTCTATGGCACCACAGAAAAAAAATGATTGATTGAAAAAACATTTTTTTTGAAAAATGTAAATGTTCATTTTTATTCACAGTTCAAGTGAGAAGTGACCAATAGATGAAAAAAGGAGCAGTTAAAATCTATATTTGTATATTTACAGTATGTATTATGCTTCTTTTCATTTGATCTGTAATTGTTGGAAAATGAACATATAATGTATATATTTCACAATACCCGAAATGGTGTATTTTCCTGCCAAATTAGTTTGCTCAAGTTGTTTTCCCTGAAACTATTTCATAGGTGAAATTCATCTAATCCAAAATGTTACAAGGACAAATCCTGATTCAACTGAACCAATTTTCTTTCCAGACTAATTTCAACAAACTACATTTTTTAAGTCTAGTAGTTTCCATATCATTCTATTTCTCAAATTGTGGTAGGAGAACCTGCATTTGAAAGTGTAACGGTCCAATTTTCAATAAAGTTTCTATATCTCACTAGCTGCTAATCACTCTGGCAATAACCTGATAACTTGGTAATATTCTGGAAGATGTACTCCGGTTTGCCATCCAATCTTTACAAAATGGCAGCAAGGCACTTACTAAAAATGAGCCACTCATTGTGGAGCTTACTGGCAGATAGATACAGATTTAAAGGATCACTATAGTGTCAGGAAACGAGTTTTCCTGACAATATAGCCTCCTTCGTACCCCCCCACCCTCAGGGTCCCCCTCCCGGTCATTGAATATGGGGATGTAGTGTATGCGCCTGGGCTGCAAACCCACCTTCATAAACGTACTATGTTGTTTAACTCATTCTACCGCTCTGTGCTACAATGTAATTACATGACCCACCCTTGTGACATGTTAAAAGAGCTGGAATCCAGACACACCCTCCACCTTTCCAGCCTTGTGTTTAAGAGCTTTTCTGGGAAGCTCCTACCCTACCTGAATATAATGCTCCCACAGAATGTTTTCACCTCCCATAATCTCAGATCCAGTACCAACACTTTATTTAGTATAACGTATTACAAAAAGAAACACTGAGTCAGACTTTCTACACTACAAATTCATATTGCGTTCATACAGCACAGCCCTTGCCCTTGCCAAACAGTCATACTTTTTCTTCTCTTATTCCCTCATGCTCTCACAATCCCAGGTGTCTCTTTGATACCTTTAACTCCTGCTGTGATCACTCCCCAAACTAACCTTACAGCCGATAGTTATGCATGCTACTTTACTGACAAGATTGAACAGGAAAGAATTCTTACCACCTTGCCCCTCACTTTCTCAACCTCACCTGGATCATGCCTTCCGACCTTCTCCAAGGCTACTGAACAAGAGGTGGCTGTGCTTATCCTTTCCTCTCGCCCCACCACTTGCCCGCTTGATCCTGTCCCATCTCACCTTATCAGATCTCTCTCCTCTTGTCTCCTCAACACACATCTTCAACTACTCTCTTTCTTCTGGCACTGTTACTGCTGTCCTTAAACATTCTATTGTAGTACCCATCTTAAAGAAACCATGTCTCGACCCATCCTCCTCTTCTAACTATCGTCCTATATCCCTGCTCCATTTTTCCTCAAAGCTTCTTGAAAGACTAGTCTTCACCCATCTGGCCTACTTCCTTAACTCCAACGCTCTCCCTGACCCTCTTCAGTCCGGCTTCCGCCCCCTCCACTCTACCGAGACTGCCCTTATCAAAGTCACTAACGACATTATCACAGCTAAATCCAAAGGTCACTACTCCATACTAATTCTTCTTGACCTCTCCGCTGCTTTTGACACTGTTTATCATGTTCTCCTTCTCCAAACTCTTCAAACCCTCGACCTCTGTGACTCTGTCCTCTCGTGGTTTTCCTCTTATCTCTCCCAATACTTATTCAGTGTCTCCTTTTATAATGATACCTCCACCATTCGTCCTCAGTTGGAGTCCCCCAAGGCTCTGTCCTTGGTCCCCTTCTATTTTCTCTTTACACTGCCTCTCTTGGCAACCTCTTTCAGATTCCAATACCACCTGTATGCTGATGACACCCAGATATATCTCTCCTCCCCGGACCTCTCCCCTGATGTCCTGCAACGTGTCACCTCTTGCCTTTCTTCTATCTCTGATTGGATGTCCTCCCGCTTTCTGAAACTGAATCTTTCCAAAACAGAACTTCTTGTCTGTCCTCCTCCTAATATTAATCCTCCTCTCTCGCTCTCCCTTCAGATTGGTGGTATCCATATCAGCCTATCCTTACAAGCACGTTGTTTTGGTGTTACTTTTGATTCTGGCCTCACCTTTGAGCCTCACATATGGTCTGATGTCAAATCATGCCAATTCCACCTCAAAACATTGCCCGCATCTGCCCCTTTCTTACACAAGATGCTACTAAAGAGCTTGTCCATGTGTCCATGCTCTAGTAATCTATTGCATGGACTATTGTAACTCTCTCCTAATTGGTCCTCCCAATAGCCGTATTGCCCCACTACAGTCTGTGATGAATGCTGCGGCCAGACTGATTTTCTAGTCGGTCCTCTCACACCTCACCCCTCTGTCAGTCCTTACATTGGCTTCCTGTATACTATAGGAGTTAATTCAAAGTGCTAACCCATACCTATAAACCACTGAATAATCTATATCTCCTCACAAATCCATAGGTATGCTTCTTCTTGGTCTCTCCGCTCTGCCCGTGACCTTCTTCTGTCCACTGCTCGCACCCGTACTGCCAACTCACGCTTTCAGGACTTCTCGCGGGTGGCTCCTTTCCTATGGAATAGCCTGCTTACCGCCATCAGACTCTCCCCTAGTCTTTAATCGTTTAAGAATTGCCTTAAAACCCATCTCTTTAGGAAAGCCTATGGCCTCCCAGACTAACCTCTACCTCACATACCTGTCTCTTGCTCTCTCCTAAAGTGCAGCAATCTACTCTCTCCTCCAGCTCTGATTCACTCCCAGCTTATTTGATTGCTATTTCCTGTCCTAATGTGTTTTATACCCCATCTCCAATAGTTTGTAAGCTTGTTTGAGCAGGGCCCTTTTCAACCTATCGTTCCTGTAAGTTTTCTTGTAATTGTCCTATTTATAGTTAAATCCCCCCTCTTATAATATTGTAAAGTGCTACGGAATCTGTTGGCACTATATAAATGGCAATAATAATAATAATAATAATAGCTTGATCCTCATTTTTCTACAACGCACACGTATGGAACAACCTCGCAGGCACAAATAAATCTTCCTCCACCCTAATATCATTTAAGAGATCCCTGTCAACATATCTCAGTACAGAATGCACCTGTAATTTTATTTCTTACTTGTTCTGTTGTAAATGTATATCTGTATTTAAATATGACTTTTTTTTATCTTTATACTGTGTATTTTCATATTACTTTGTATTATTAATATAATGCTGTTCCCTATTGTAACAATGGGGCGTTTGTGGGCTTAGGATTTAATTGAAAATGAGAGAAATCTCAATGTATCTTTGAATGTATATCTACCCCAATACATTTATTAAAGGTCTTTCAGGAAATCTTTTACAACTTGTTTAAGCCTCACAATTAAAAATCAGTTAAGTGGATGCTTTTTCTATAACATTCACAATGAAAAAAATGACGCTGAACACGGGGGATAACTAAATCTCTATTCATTGAGTGGATTAGAAATTATTACATCGAGAGAAACAATTTCCTAATCGTTTATAGTAATTAAACATTGCTTACCTGTTGCTAAAGCAGAGAAGGTAAACAGATATCCCAGAAGAGAGATCATAGTAAAGTTTCACCAATTCCAAGAATAGTAGCACGGGATTAGATCATAATGATATAACACAAAAATACTACTAATGAAGAAGGTGCTGGCAACAACAAAAAAAGCTCTCTTCAGTTGGTTTCATTTCTTTCCTTTCTTCTGGTGTTTTACATACTTTGTCACGTGTGATAGATAGATATGTTGTGTCGTCATTCGGCAGTAAGAATGGGTGGAGGGTTAGGTTGTAGCCATTAGCAAATGGAACAAAGAGACACGATAGCTTTTAGAGTAATTGATCGGAGATCATCATGTGCTTTTTAATGAATTTCACTTTAATTTTAGCATTCTAATCATACATATATCAAGACTTAAAACATCTTTATTTACACCCCCTCCCCCTCCAAAAAAAGATGTATTTCTCTACAATCCAGACAAGTCAAACATAAAAAAATTGTCGTAAAATAGCAACATTGCTTAGGGCACAGATAGGTAAAGCAATATATCACATGAAAATCATTGAAGAAAAAAACAACTAAAATCTGTAATAAGAAATAGTAAGTGCTATGAGATTTGAAACTCTCCCATAGCTGCATTACCTGCCGTGTATAAGTTCCTAGACAACTCTAATTTTGTTTCTTTTGCAAGTTGTCTTTTTCTGCCCCCTCCCAGTCTTTCTCCTCCGGCAAATTCTGCTATTTAACTCTCTCTTGTCCTTAAAACCAGTTTTCTTGTTATAATAAGATGTTACTGGTTTTGATTTGTTACTGTAGTTACGTTTGCTCAAAGCATCTTAATTTAGTCACGATATTTTGTCAATTAAATAACGTCTTAGTCTGTGTTTACTGCACATCATTTTATAGTTTTGATTTATCTAAATAAACAAATGTTCTTCCTTTCAGTAGACATTTCTACAAAAATACTTTGCTAAAAAAAAAGTTCTTATTCATGAAAATACTGCTATTATATTACTTGTATTGTACTTATATCTGCAAAAAAATAAGAGCAAGAACCATAAGAAATTATAAATGCATGTTAAATAAAATAATATTTTTTTCAGGGAAGAGAAAATAAATAGACATTTCTTCATTATATTATACAGATCCTGTGAGTCATTTTCAGCAAGTGTGTTGAAAATAGACAAAATAATATTTGATCTCTCATTAAAAAATAGGTGTGTTTCGTTTTTAGGTGTGCTGATAATATTTTAAATACCATTCTAGTAAATCTCACAATACAACATGTTTGACATTCATTTTACAGATAAATATTTATTTTAAGAGGTACACAGGGCCGGGTTTACTTACTTACTGCCCCAAGACCAGTTTCCTTAGTGTACAGAAGCTGAATATATTTGTTAAAGGGACACTATAGTCACCAAAATAACTTTAGCTTAATGAAGCAGTTTTGGTATATAGATCGTGCCTCTGAAGTTTCACTGCTTAATTCTATGAGATTCATGAGTCCAATCACTTTTGTTTCTGTTTATGCAACCCTAGCCACGCCTACACTGGCTGTGGTTGTAGGGGGAGGAGGGTAATAACTATAGTGGAATGACAGGGGCTTGTAGATTGAGCACTGGGATTTTAGCATGGGATATAGGAGCTGAGGACTGCTAAAATATGTTTAATAAAAAAGAAAAACCCAAAGTATCTCCCCCATCCCTGATGTTTACTTTGGGCCAAGGAGGGGGAAACCTGAGCCCTGGCAGTCCCGTTGGAGATATTGCTGTCTGATACTATTTATGTAGAAAGGAAATACAATTTACATGTCCTGAAGCCCCTGGTCTTTTTGCCACCTAATAATGTCCCTGTTGTAGAAAATGTAACTAAATTACAGGAGACACATAAAAACATGTGATATCACCTTTGTTAGTTTGGAAATGGATTCCAAGCTCACATTTTCAAGACCACCCAGATTGCCTCAAAGTCTTCTCTCCAACACTATTTAGCATTGTCCCCATTGTATCTGCTTTAATCCAAGGCTTAAAACAGGAAATCTCAAACTAGTTGCCTCTGATCATTGCTCACAGCCTATCAATAGCTCCCCGTTCACAAAATGGCTTGAGGAAAATACGTACATTACTCAAACCATTTTGTGAGTGGGGAGCTTTTGATAGGCTGTCAGTGAAGCGCAGTCTAAAGCTTCCTGTTTCAAGCTTCTTACTCAAGTAAAGATGGAAGGGGCAATGCTTAACAGAGCCATCTAAACGTTTCGAGTATAAACTGTTTATAAACAATTTAACTCCTAAAGGAAAGCAAACACCAGGGACCTCCTTGCACCAAAACAACTTCATTCAGATGAATATGTTATTGTGCAAACTGTGTTCCATCAAGAGATTAAAAGAGCTTCCTTAGATACATTTATAATCCAGCTTTAAATAGTAAAAGAAAAAATTAAAATCCCCATTTTTTCCACAGCTTTGCTTGTAATAATTTCTACATACTAGTGCAGCTTACGAGACCCACCAAAATAGATTTAATTTGGATAGACCGATGCGTTTAGGATGCCAATCAATATTTGGAAGATAAAGGCTTTGTCCTAGAAAGTGACCGATGTTTGGTGTGATAATCTTTACTCTGAGCACATGCAGATGTTCTGAACGAAGCCATGTTTATACAATACGGGAGGAATGCCCACATTGAGAAGGGCTGATGTGCTTCCAAGACGGAGCCAATCAGGAGGTGAAGATATGAAGATATGACCAGCATGCATTATAACGAGTGTAACAACCACAAAGCAGAATCATGACAGCCTCAAGAAATATGGATAAAATGTAAACATACACTTAATAACTCCTAAACTAATATAGTATTTCTGTGTGGTAAATGATAAATTCATTGGATGAAGAATTGAAAACAAGTCATGACTGACTTTCTTTAACCCCTTAAGGACACGATTCCCTTTTATTCCAGAAGTTTGGTCCTTAAAGGGTTAAAAAGCAAAGAGAAATCCATACATCAATAAATTAGACTCTTAAACTTTCCAATTAATTCAATTAATTTCAAAGAAAACAGGTAAAAACATGATATGCCTATATCTGATTTAGAAAAAACTTAACATGCATTCAGAGATTGTCAATATGTGTAATACAACATACTATAAATGTAGATAAAGTTTAACATTTTACATTTCTAAAAAATAATTAAACAAATATGTTTAACAGAATAGTAGATTCTGATACAGGATTTACACTACCATCTGTCATTTCCTTTAAATGTAATTTGCTCTTTAAATTTTTTTTTAGCAAATTTGAACAAAAATCCAAAGTCACTGAGGAAATTAATTTAAAAAAAATAAGTATTTCAGTAAAACTAGAAAAGCAGTTGTGGAAAGGAAAAATCCACCGTGGACACTATTGGTTCCACTTGTGCAGAACACTTTCATATCAATGTTCAGACCATCGTAGCTCGCTGTCTGGGTACCAAGAAGACTGCAGTATGTGTCCGTGGCACATCCTCGAAGAGCTTCCTTTGAAAAGAATGTTCCTGTAAATAATAAATGTTTTACGTTAACAAATACCAACTTACTGTTCAGTAAATTATATGGTATTCTAAAATGCTTCTTCTCTAAAATATTTTGTGCATGTTGGAGTAAAACAGACTAATGTTATTATATATCTGTATTAGCACAACAAAAAGCTGTGGCAACAAATAAAAAAAATGGTCTATTAACATCAATGTGGGTAATGATAGGGGTTTTTATGTAATTTGTGGGAACTATATTTTAAAAGTAGTACTGGGATTTGAAAATAAAAGTATTTACATGGCCATAATGTCCACATGCAGCACATTTCATACACTAATCACCTGTACAATGCATGGTTTGCAGGAAATTTTTACAGCCTGCAATAAATCCCTGTAGTATGCTCAGACCTTTCAATACTCATATCTGGCTTCTATATGAAGTCATGAAGATGAATTGCAAAGATTTCTATACCGTGTGGGGGTGGCTATCGAAGTAACTGTCTAAATTACTTCTACAAACATATGTAATGGATAAAAAGACAGAATGTCAAACAATGCATACATGGTCTTACACTACTTTTTCCATCAGCATTCTCTTACTTGTTATTAGCATCTATAGAGAAGCAAGAGGTTCTGCAATGCTTTACAGTTTGAAAGGGAATGTTTAGAGTTGAAAAAGTCACTGCTCACACTAGCTTACAATATATGAGTGTGACAGAAGCCCCTGTCCCAGTGGCTCGTGGATGGGCTTGAAGGCCAACTAATTCTCCACAGACTATGAATCCTGTCCCATGACACTCTTTGCTGGATCGAAGCCTGGCCGAATCCCGGTGAAACTTTAAAAGCACTGTAGCTTTGGCTGGCTTCCTCTGATCTACGGTCTTTTTTGGGAGACCCAGGGATGTATCGTTTGTGGGGATGCTTTGTTGAGAGAGGGAGTTTGGGGGCTAAGATTCACTGGTGCCCTGTCTGGAGAGAACATGGCAGGGGGGAAATAGCATTAACTTTGTTGACTCTAAACTGATCATGTTAACTGATCTCCTTAACAACTATCAGCTCGGACAGAGTGGAGCTGGGGAGGGGATTGGTTATGTTACATTTAATTGTATGGAGGATGCTTTAGAGGAGGAATCCATATTTGAACTGTTTATGTATAGTGAACTGTGTGTTAATAGTGTGCTCAAGGGAAAAAGACTATGTCATACTCTAGGATAGATCTGATCTGTGGGAATCTACCTTTAATAAACAGAATTCTAAAAATATATATTTTAAATAACACATGGTCAGATCCAAGTATTTTTATACTTGAACTTAAAGACTCATTTAGATATAATGGTAGACCTCCACAGAGATTGAATGAGTATTTGCTTAATTTGAAAGAAAATAAAAATTATATTTCAATCTAATAAATCTATATTTTAAAGAAAATAACCAACTAGACACGTCTATAGCAAATAATTGGTGTATCTTTAAGGCTGTTATTAGAGTCCAAAAACTGATGGTATAAAAATGAAATTCTATTATCTCTTGAAAGTATAGGCAATGCTATTAACAAGTATTACTAAGAATTATACAATATAAACAATTACCCTCAAGATTTAGATATAGATAATTATTTACAAAACCTTGAATTCCCAGAACTAACTCAAACACAAAAAACAAAGTAAATCTTCCTATAACTACAGAAGAAATTGATCAAAATATATCTAACTTACATTCCCAAAAAACCCAGGCTAAGCTATATTTGGGCTAATATTGATGGGCTAAGCAATATTTTTTATAAATCATTTAAATCTAATCTCCTAGAACATCTAACATCTACATTTAATGATATAGTACAGCAAACAAATTTACCGACAGAATTAACGAAAGCCAACATAATTCCAGTTTTGAAACCTTACAAAAATCCTTTAAAACCAGAAAATTATAGACCAATATCTCTCATGAATTCCGACATTAAGATATCTGTATCCATTCTCACAGAAAGGCTAAAGCAAGTTTAAAATAATTTAATTCACCCTGACCAGATAGGCTTTATGCCAAACAGATTTTCAGGCTCCAATATCAGACGTTTAATAGATATTTTGGACTTGGCAGAAAAATCTGAGACTCCTCTCCTGACTTTGTCAATAGATTCTGAAAAAGCTTTCGACTGAGTCAGTTGGGGATTTATGAGCAAGTCTCTTCAATATTTTAGTATACAAGACTGGATGCTCCAAGCAATTATGTCCATTAGCAAGAACAGTGGGACACTGTATTTTGCTCACTGGTTTCCGATAAAAAACGGAATCAGACAGGGTTGTCCACTTTTTCCACTTCTTTATATCATATCAATTGAACCATTAGCAATGAAAATAAGATATTATCAAAAAATAAAAGGAAATTAAATCAATTCAAAATCATTCTATATGCAGATGATGTTATTTTAACAATAATCAACCCAGAAGACTCACTACCAAATCTTATAAAAAAATTCTTGAATACAGCAAAGTATGTAACTATAAAAGAAATATAGAAATTCTATGATTCTACCTTTAAATATAAAAAAAATCAAAAAAACCTACTCAAAAGTCTTTATCAATTTAGCTGGGTTAAGCACAGTTTTTTCATAGTTAGGTGTTAAAATCACCAAAAATGTAAACAGCTTAATGGAAGCAAACTTTCTAGAGATTTTAAAATCAACAAATCAATCTCTTAAAGAATGGAGGAAGGTGGAACTATCCTGGTGGGGCCGCATCAATCTTGTTAACAGTGATATTCTTCCTAGATAGTCATATATGTTTGAAATGATTCCATTTTCAATTCCCACTCCTTGGCTTATAATGTTACAAATTAGTCTAACAAGGTTTTTATGAAAAACAAAGCCACCCAGGATTAGCCAAAAGATTCTATCCTTGATTAAATCCTTGAATAAGAATAAAGGATGTTTAGGATTCCAAAATAAAAAAAAAAGTTATACCAGGACAGTATAATGACTCATGTTTACCGCCTACAAATTTGCTCTCCAGAATTGGAAAGAAGGCAAAATATTGAAAATATAGGAATAGCTGCTAAAGACCTAAATTTGAATTCCTCGAAACAATCGAATATCATTAGCATTTCATAAGTAATAAAAAAAAAAAAAAAAATGGTTATTATTTGGTTGAAGAGGATATCATGGAGGAAGCTCGGAACATGAAAACATGTTCTAGAAGGGATTCAATTTAGAGGGGTGTCTGTTTCTTTTTAAATGTAGTAAATATTTGTTTAGCGCATCATTTTTTATGAATTATGAATCAAATGCATTAAAAATCTCGAGTGTAAAAACTCCTGAAATTACCTGATAACTGTTTTTCCATGAGGAGACACTTGTTCTCTACACCTTTACATTGGATGGTTTCTGACGTGTAACACGAGAGGGAATTCCCTGAGTAGCAGGTTCTGCAGGTTAATCCATTCTGCTGAATGTTATTAGATGGCACTTTACGGGATGATAAATATATAAAACTATTAATTAAAAGAAACATAGATGTTCAATAATTAAGCTTTTTAGCTCGCACATGGTGTTTTCTTTTTAAATTCATTTTAAATCTTATTAATTTAAAATTGGTTCATTGTATTAGTTCACAATAATGATACAAAAGTATGTAGTTAGAGGAGCAACCCAAACATGAAAACATCTACCACATGCTCTCTATACACATACACAACCACAGTGCACCAGAGCACTCCTGACGAGGTAGAAACTTCGGCCAGGTAGATCCAGGATACGGTCTGATTGTGCAACAAGAGTAAATGTGACAAAGGGATAGTGGTAAATTCAATTTCATCTAGGGTGTCATCCAGGCAGCAGAGTCTTCCAAACTGAGTGGGCACGCACGGGTGAGCTTCTGATCTCACGAGCTGTTCTTTGGCTTCACATTCTCATTATTTTTAGACATGTGCACCAGTGAAAATTTCGTTTTGTATGAATGATTTCGTAATTTGTTCATTCTGAATTTCGTCCATAAACCATTTGTTTTTCGGTAAATTTGGTAAATTCTGTAAAAAATTATTTGTTTTAGTTTTTTAGGACGAAAGTAGCACTGCGAACTGGGTATTATGGATTTTTTGGGGGCATTTTTGGGGGCTGAAGAAAGAAAAGAAAAGAAGAAAGAAGACACCTAATGGTAAGTATGAAATGTTTTTTTACAGGGTGTCCCACCGCTCACTATTATTAGGGTAGGTAGAGTATTTTTATTGGGGGGGAGTGACTGGTGGCTTGGGTACCCTTAGTTACTTTATTATTTGTGGTCCCTACCCACTGCTTATAGGTGGGGACCTGGGGGGGACATTAGGCCCCCCCATTATTTAATTATTTAAGGTCCCCACACTGGTGGTCATGCGGACATTAGGCCCCCCCATTATTTATGTATTTAGGGTCCCCACCTGCCGCCTGCTGCTCATGGGTGGGGTCATTAGGTCCACCCCTTTAATTAATTAGGTCTCCACCCACCACTCATGGGTGGGGATCTGGAAGGAGGTTAGGGACCATTTAATTAATTAGGGTCCCCTCCAGCCACTCATGGGCAGGGACAATAGGTCCCCCTATTATTTATTTAAGGTCCCCACCCACCAGTCATCAGTGAGGATCAGGCTGGTGATTGGGTCCCCACCCACCGCTCATGGGTGGAGACCAGGAGGGACATTAGATACCCCCCCGTTATGGGTGGGGACATTAGTTCCCCCTATTATTTATTTAATTAAGGTTCCAACCCGATGGTCATGGGTGGGGGCCAGGGGGGACACTAAGTCCACCCTTTTATATTAATGGCCCCCACCCATAGGTCATGGGTGGGGACACGGGGGCACTATGTCCCACCAAATTTAGTTATTTGGATTCCCCACCACGGGGGAATGGAGGGACCTGTGCCAGCAATAGCTGCCCAGTCAATAGCTGCCCAGTCACTAGTCGTTATAAATGACAGCGAGCAGCCACTGGTTGCTCGCCGTTTAGGAGACATGCCCCTACTCGCAGTATGTCGATAGTAGGGGCATGCAGGAGGATTTAATCTCCATTTTATTAATATGAGAGTCATAGTGACCCCCATAGTTTTTAATGCGGGGGGGGGGTAGGAATTTATATTTATTACAAGGAGGGATCTGGCTCCCTCCTTGCTTTTCTTTTCCAAGCATGCGCAGTGTTATTTTCTTCAAGCACAGGTTAAGTCACTTAACCCGTGCTTGTAATAGTCTTCTTGCAGCCCTGCATGGGTTAAGTCTCTGCAGGGAGAACCAGCATTTTTTGTTTCTCCTCTGTGCTGTGGGGGTTAATTCCCCTGCAGCACGGAGTCTATTGAACAAAAGAAACTAAATGAAAAGGTAATGCATTCTGCATTTGCCCTTTCGTTTTGTTTAGATTTCGTATCTGCAACTTTCCTTTACGTTCTAGTAAACGATTACGAAAAAACTAATTTTCTGATGAAATCGTATTCGTACAAAAACGAATGCGCATGTTTCATTATTATATTATTACTTACACTCAGTCCAGGTCCTGAACAGATTTAGGGCTAAACAATAATATTTAAATACAATATGCTTAAGATCTCTAGGACTGTGTCTATTCTAAATTTGCTTGCTATTCAGAACTCTCCCTCTTGTAAATTAAATGTCTAATCAAATAATTGATAGGAGAAGGGGTAAGAAATTATAATATTGAAAAAGAAGTACCCACAGAATATCTGAAATCGCAGATTTTCAGCATACTTATGGCTAACAATGAAATCATGCTCCCTCTCTGCTAAGTAATAACCCTGCCTCCAACAGTGATGCCACTGGCTGAAATGCAGAGATCTCATGTGAATACAACATTTAATTACATTTTTATTCTATGTCTCTGTCTCTGCTGTTGTCTCCTGTTTTTCTATGTTAAATCAGGCAATGTCTCAATTAAAAATAAATTTTAGCTCATTGTAGTTATATCTGTATTGGAAGTCAATATTATTTTTATTTACATGTACCTGGGTTATAAACTGACTGATTAGAAAAAAGGAAATAAAACAAAAGTTGAGAGGAGGACATATATCCACTGAGAATTTGCTCTTAACATGATTAATTCCACATTTCAAAATGATACTTACATGTTGGAATACCCGGATCACAATTGTCAGTGCTACAACAGGTTGTTGCTACCCTGACAACACCAATATTGAAAGTGACACTTCCGGTCAGATTGCACTGATTCCTTGGTCCACAGTCTCTGTTAAACACTGGAGTGAGTGTTCCAGCTAAATATATTCCAAGAATAAAAAAAAGCATTTTCAATGTTTAACAGTTCCCAGGGGACATTTGTATAAACTACTTTGTTGGTGACCTTAAGAAACAGTGCCTCTTACAATAGATACAAATATTAAAATATTTACACATATAAGGTATATTTACCACAAACTAATGGGGCTTGACATCACAAATTAGGGATTAATCCTCCTCTAGGTTCTGTGCAAGCCAGAATATGGACACTTGCATAGACAAAAACCTATTCCTACAATACATTTCTCCAAAAACTGAAGAGTGAATTGCTCAGATTTCAAATACATGCTTTTTTTATTTTAACTTGCCATTATAGATGGACACTTTAGCAAGCAGTGTAAACCTTTTCTTTGATAAAACAGAAGTTTTTTAGTTATGCAGAAAAGCCTTTTTTTGTTTTTTTTTTATATAATCTGTGCAGATTTTGAAACAGTGAATGGGTGATTTTTTTTCAGTAACACCATATTCATGTATATAATATTTAATATTTGGGATAGCAGCTTCTTGATCCAACGAAAGATTTGACAGTCATTTTTGGGTTAATAAGGGTAGGAAATGATTGATAGACATGTTTTTCTCCAAAATCAATATCAGTCTCCAATATCAGGACCACGGAATGCACTCTGTGGTCCTGGTCCTATGTGTTTCATCATTCTTCAAAGAACTCTTAGTAACTGCAATTAAACACAAAATAAAAACTAATACAAAGACCCTTCAGCTGTAGTCTCCATTCTTCCTACTGGGTGTTCTGGGAGGCAGAGAGGGTTAAAACTTAAACTTTTTGGGCTGCTCCTGCTTCTGCTGTACCTTCTTCAAATATTGGAAGTAAACTACTTTTTTTTTCCATTCTGGGGGGTGAAGAGCAGACACCTAAATGGGTAGTCCAGCACTATAGTGTTAGGAATACATGTTTACACTCTTAACATTATAGTGTTCCTCTAACTTTCTACAGCAGTGTTTCTCCTGTTTTATTTATATTATATTTATCAAACATTTGTTAGAAATGAAATGGAGAAATGTGCACTGAACTGTTTATCTCTATTCAAGAACAGGTCACCTCCATCTTGGCTCCCTGTCAATCATAATTAAAAACAGACATTGCAGTCATAATCGAGACCTTGTCACAATAAACATCAATTGTCTCCAAGGATGTCAAGATAATAAATGGCCAAAAGGAACAAAAAGATGGATTCTCTTAATAGGCTATGTAGTTCCTTTGCATATTGAAGAGCAGTTTTTTAGACTACATGTGAACCCTTATGCTGCTCAGAGGAGGACCTGTACTCGTGTCTCCTTGTCAGTCATTGTTTTAGTCGTGCCCTTTTCACAACAAGAGGACATAGTCTTAAATTAGAGGGGCAAAGGTTTAAAAATAATATCAGGAAGTATTACTTTACTGAGAGGGTAGTGGATGCATGGAATAGCCTTCCAGCTGAAGTGGTAGAGGTTAACACAGTAAAGGAGTTTAAGCATGCGTGGGATAGGCATAAGGCTATCCTAACTATAAGATAAGGCCAGGGACTAATGAAAGTATTTAGAAAATTGGGCAGACTAGATGGGCCAAATGGTTCTTATCTGCCGTCACATTCTGTGTTTCTATGTTTCTATTATTAGTATGTGCAGGCGGAGAAACTATAACCATGTTTCTTTTTCTCCTTTTCCAATGCAAGATGTACCATGACTGTGCCAGGACTGAACCAAATTATAAAGTAAATTTCTATATCTTTAAAATACATTTAAATGAGAACTGAGAATCAAATGAAAGTATACTTGAGAGTTACTTGCATTCTTCTTTAAATAATTTTAGATTTGTTTAACAGCCAATCAATTAGTCGAAAACAAAACTAATTTGATTTATTAAAAACAAATCAAAAGGCTTTGTTTTGGACATATTGATTAGTTGTTAAAATAATTGATTTGTTTAAAGTCAAATGTGAGAAATTAACATGCCTAAAAAAATGACACATATAAGTTATTTTAATTTTTCTTCTTATCGTGTAATTTTCAGAGCCATTCCCAGTGATTCCCCCTTAATAGTAGAGTATTAAATTAAGCTGCTTTATCCTACACTTTAGTTAGACCTAGTAATCACTTAAAACACAACTATGCAAATTTTACATGGACACATTTTTTTCCTAATTTAATAAAAAAAATGATTGCAATTAAGATTCTATTGCAATATTTAATAGTTTAAATCAGTTATCCCAAAACATACCTGCGTTGGTAAGAGAATACCCATTTGCACAAAGATTATCAGATGGACATGTCACACTGCTACCAATGCAAGTCTCCTTACTGCTTCCCAAACACTTAATACAAGATAGAGAATCACCTACAAAGTAAAAATGATATGATGAGATAGAAAGTTAGTAAATGCAACATACATGCCAATTTGCTAGATTAACACATTAACCAATAAAGTGCAGTGCTGATGTATCACACACAAAAAAATTAAATGGTAATTACCCCTTTTCAATTACACACTTTTGTAGATTAAAGGGATGCTCTAAAACCTCAACTTAAAGCCATACAGAAATATCTACAAAAATATAAAAGAAAGGCCAAAAATAATGTAATTCAGTTAAATCACTAATTTATGCATTGTTGTTTCAAGGTTCAACACACAAATCTAGGTAAGATCATAAGCCTGTCAAAGATAATGATGGCAATCTCCGTTGACATAGATCCTCTGGACCTTAGATACATGTAACAAAAAATTAAAAAACCATAGTGCAACACCTTCAAATCACAAAACACTCTGCTTATAAAATAAAATAAATGAACAAGTATAAATAAAATAAACAAATGAAAGTGCAGCATCAATTGGAAGGCCCTACGTGTTTCGTCACTCCTATGAGACTTTCTCAGGGGCAATAAAGAGGGCATTTATAGGGCATCTTGGGATATTGGGAAGATATCGGGAAGTGGAACAGAAGACCTCTACAATGCTCCATATTTCTTCTGGGTTAAGTTGACTTGTACACTGGAAGAAGATGATACCGGCACTGGGAAGTGGAATGCATGTGCATTCCAGCAAGGTTTTCTGGTGCAAACTGAATTGAGAGGATTATTTTGCATAGGTGATGGAACCCATTCTGATTGGCTGACGGTGATCTGAATTTGGATGGTATAAGATTTATAAAGGAGACCATGCTACACTTTATTTTCCCTGAGGAAGTCTCACAGGAGAGGTGAAATGCGTAGGGCCTACCCATTGATGCTGCACTTGTATTTGTTTATTTATTTTATTTATACTTGTTTGTTTATTTTATTTTCCCATATACATCTATCTGAGAAAGAAGATCTGGTGACCATTATCCTGTATCCAGCTCCCAGAACTTTTGATGTTATTGATGTTAAAACTGGGGGCACCCTCAGGGCACTATAGTGCCAGGAAAACGAGTATGTTTTCCTGGCGCTATAGTGGTCCTTTAATGGCTTGGGATTTCTGAATAGAGACATTAGCCTCACATAATCTCCCACCAAACCTAGGGGGTTTTAGCACTCACTATAAAAACAAAACAAAAGTATTTTGTACTGAGGATTTTATATTTTGCTTTGTAAATTTCTATTTAAAAAAAAAAAAAGTAGTAATAAATACTAAATGCTAAACACTAATAAACCTTACGGGAGAAAACAATCTGTAGTCTCCAATGATTTCGCTAAATAGGTCAAGTACAGAATATTTCACAATTTGATTATCAACTGTAATAAGTGCCAAATTAGCTAAAAAAAAAAAAACCTCTAGGAAAAGTAGGTTAATTGTATATTAAGAGTTTATTTCAGTCCAATTCTCCAACTTTGGATGGAAAAAAGCACAAAAAAAAAAAAATGTAATACTAATGATCAACCTGTAAGGGTCACTGTTGTCAATACTCACAAATGATAGTCAATCCAGTGATGCCAATAAAAAAGGTAAATTAAGAAGATGTAGCAGTACTAGATATTTAACAGTAGGTGTCTCCCTAGTACATAAGCCACCAATGTCCCTCAATAAAACAGAGGCAAATAAATTGAAAGTGAAATGTTTAGGTGAAAAGAGGAGACTTGAAAAGGCTGTTCCCTAGCCCCACTAGACTTAGAAAATTGCTGCCTTATTCCTGCACATTTGCTAGACAGTGAACATCTCAGGTATTAATTAAGTATTTATAAAATATTTTACCAGAAAAAGATACATTGAGATTTCTCATTTTCAAGTATGTCATGGGTCCACAAAACATTTCATAGCTACAATAGTGTACAATAAAATATAAAACAATATTAATACACAACATATTTACATATTTATATATTTAAGAAATATATAATCAACCATGACAAGTGCATTCTGTTTTGAGATATATAGAGAGGGATCTCTTAAAGGACTTTAGGGCTGGGGGAAATTTGAAAGTGTGCGGGAGGTCGTTCCATAATTCAGTGCTCTGTAGGAAAATGAGGATCGAGCTTTCTTTTTGTATTGAGGTAGACTAAATAAAGTGCTGGTACTGGATCGGAGGTTATAAGAGGTGGCAATAGCTGGAGAAGGTATTCTGCTCAGGTAGGGTGGGAGCTTCCCAGAAAAGCTCTTCAACACAAGGCTGGAAAGATGAAGGGTGCGTCTGGATTACAGTGATAGCCAGTTTAGCTCTTTTAGCATGTCACAATGGTGAGTCATATAATTACATTCTAGTACAAAGCAGCAGAACGAGTTATACAATGCAGTATGTTTAATAAGGTGGGTTTATGGTGCAGGTGCATACACTACATCCCCATAATCAATGACCAGCATTAGCATTTGTTGTATAATCTTTTCCTTTACAGTGGGTCAAAGGCAGGATTTGTTTCTGTACAGGGCATCTTGTTTTGGATAAAGTTTTGATGCACGTTTTCCTATGTGGAGGCCAAAAGATAGATTGGGGTCTAACAACACAGCCAAGTATCTGAAAGAGTGGACTGCGATCAGTGTGTTATTTGATTTTGTTTTGTTGATGTTAAGATGGGAATCTTGTAATTTGTGTAATTTAGGTACTGTTCCAAAGATCATTGTGACAGTTTTGTTAGTGTTTAGGAAGAGTATGTATTTTGTGATCCACTTTTCCACCTCTGAGAACTGGCCTTTGAGCTCAGCCTCAAGATGTGGTAGATCGGGTTTTCCAGCGTAGATTGCAGTGTCATCTGCATACATGTGTACAGTTGAGAATTTCAGACATTAGGAAGATCATTTATGAATAATCTGAATTGTAAGGGGCCGAGTATGGAAACTTGGGGAACACCGCATGTGACTAGGAGAGGGAGGGAGTCGCTGTCAGAAATGGACACTTGTTGCGATCGATCTGATACATATGATCGAAACCAGGTTAGCGGACGATCACCTATACCTGAGTTTTTGCATTTTTGTAGTAGAATGTCATGGTCTACTGTGTCAAAGGCATTGGCAAACTCAAAGAAAATAGCTCCAGTTAGGTCTACTTGTTCCAAGCCAGTTTGGATGTCATTACAAACTTTTAAGAGGGCCGTTGTAGTTGAGTGATTTGTGCGGAAGCTTGATTGGTCAGGGGTCCGATAATTTGATTGTTGGTAATACTCACATAGTTGCATATGGATGTATTTTTCCAAGACAGGAAGCAATGATAGCGATAGTTAGAAACCAAAGTAATGTTACCACGTTTGTATATAGGTACTACTCTCGCAGTCTTCCAAAGTTTGGGTATGTATCCAGACACCAAGGATTCGTTAATTAGGATTTTGACAGGTCTTGCAATTGCTGGAGTACTGAGTTTCAACAGCATTGCTGGGATTTGAATCATAGGTCAAATACAAAGTACACACTTTTCACCCATGGCTTCAGGATCACCAGGAGAGCACTGATGATCCTGGCTATATTTTGACTATATGTAAGTTGTAAATTTGACCAAATTGGCTATTGCAACCTACATTTTAAAGTTTGCATTTCAGTTTATTAGGGCAGAATGTATACTGTACTTGGTGATAATAAACCTATAGCACACAGATATAGTATTCTAACAGCATACTAATATACACAGTACTCCCATATCCAGAGCTATCGAGCTCTATCACAAATCACTTCCATTTAGGGTAATGTTTTAATCAGGTATTGTGTTTCTTTGTTACATTTACAGTATAGAACTTCAGTCGGAGTTTGTTTGTTCTTTGCACAAAGTACGTTTATTTTACCTGGAGAGAGTCAAGAGGCAATGTAAACAAGAAACTCCCCAGCTGAAGCTTATATAAACAAAGAATGCACGTGGCATACCTTGGTGAATACTGTAGAGTTTGTTATTGAAATACTGAGTGAATGCTGGTGAATGTAAAATGAATAACAAAATACCAGACATAACAGCAGTCAGACAGGTAGTGGGTAGCATTTTCACATTTTTGCTTCTAAGATGTTTTGACAGCCATAGTAAAGAGAGTAAATGTCCATGTATTATCATGTTTTCCATTCTAACCCACTGCGGTGGAATGTGTTGAATCTGTGCTGGTACTATACAGCTAGTTATTGCCCATGTGACAAATGCTCCTTCCCACATATGTTGGCCACAAACTCCTGGAGTAGTGTAGAAGCCAGCCTCCTGCCCACCGACTATGGTCCAAGTCTGGGACACTGTTTGGGAGTTACCCTACCCAGCGCCACTAGTAGCTTTCCCTGGGTGCCCCTGGTTTGGCACTTTCCTTTCATGCGAATAGCCCTGAACACTGGCTCTGTGGCGGCCGTTTGCATGAACCAAACCTACAAATAGTCCCAGCGGTACTTAGCCACGACTGCTATAGAACTAAATTTGGCATGAAGACATCGTGGGTTCCCGGTCACCTCAGCGGGACTTAGCCGTGAATGCTACGAAACTGTTTTCGGCATGAGGTGACATGAGGTGACAGTGCGGTTCCCGGACAACTTTGTTTGCGGTTTTGAACCATTTTGAAATCCACCAGGAGAGTGCTTTTTGTAGGGAAGGTACCTGAGACTTAGGGGATTTAGGGGCCCAAGAGCCAGACAGAGCACCCTTTATTGCGGCCGAAAGTTGACCGGCAAAAGCACCAAAATGCCCTGGAACTGTATTGGGCTACTGCCTCTTGTCCGGCCGGTCAAAACTTTACCTCAATGGCATTCCCATTTCACCAAACCGATCTGAGTGATATTTGGATATGCTATACACTCAGATCGGGGATATCCAGGGATGTACTTTTTGTGGGATTTCTGAGTATGGTGGGGGCACTTTTGGGGTACTGTATATTTTGTATGGATTTTCTGTACCTGAGAGATAATTGGATTATAGATTTTTCTCACGCAATTATCAGGCACAGAGGATCCTGGGATGACAAGGGAGGATGTGGTTCCTATATTCAAAAAAGGTTCAAAATCCTTGCTGGAAATTATAGACCTGTGAGCTTAAATTCTGTGGCTGGAAAAATATTTAAAAGGATAAGGGATAATATTCAAGAATTCCTTAAGAAGAACATGGTTATGAGCAAAAATCAGTATGGTTTTATGAAGCACAGGTCATTTCAAACTAACTTGATTGCGTTCTACGAAGAAGTGAGTAGAAGTATAGATCAGGGTGTTGCAGTGGATGTGATCCATTTGGATTTTGCAAAGGCATTTGATACAGTTCCACGCAATAGATTAGTGTTCAAACTCAAGGAAATCGGTCTAGATGAAAATGCTTGTTCTTGGGTATAACATTGGCTTAAAAAAAGAGTACAAAGAGTTGTCATTAATGGTAAATTTTCAAGCTGGACAGAGGTGGCAACTGGTGTCCCTCAGGATTCTGTTCTGGGACCCCTTCTGTTTAACATGTTTATAAATGATATTGAAAAAAGCATTGAAAGTCATGTTTCAGTGTTTGCAGATGACACAAAACTCTGTAAAATAATACAATGTGAGCAAGATATTACTTTGCTGCAGAGGGATTTAGATAGATTGGGGACTGGGCACTCAAAAGGCAGATAAAATTTAATGTTGAAAAATGCAAAGTTATGCACTTCGGCGTAAAGAATACACAATCAACGTATACCCTTAATGGAAGCGAATTAGGGATAACAACACACGAAAAGGACTTGGGAATTGTTATAGACAACAAACTATGCAACAATGTGCAATGTCAATCAGAGAATATCATTTTGCCTCTTTATAAATCACTGGTAAGACCACATATTGAATATGCTATGCAATTTTGGGCACCTGTTCTAAAGAAGGATATTATGGCACTAGAAAAAGTGCAGAGGTGCGCTACAAAATTAATAAAAGGAATGGAACATATCAGCTATGAAGAAAGGATAACAAATTTAAACCTACTTAGTTTACAAAAACGTCGCCTGAGAGGGGATATAATAACATTATACAAATATATTCGGGGCCAATACAAACCATTGTGTGGAAATCTTTTCACAAACCAGACTTTACATAGGACACGAGGTCATGCGCTTAGACTGGAAGAAAGAAGATTTTGTTTAAGTCAAAGTAAAGGTTTTTTTTACTGTAAGAACAATCAGGATGTGGAATTCTCAGCCTGAAGGAGTGGTTTTATCAGAGTCCATACAGATGTTCAAACGGCTACTAGATGCATACTTGCAAGAACAAAATATTCAAGGATATAATCTTTCAATGTAGGGTAATAACTGCTTGATCCAAGGATAAATCTGACTGCCATTCTGGGGTCAAGAAGGAATTTTTTTCCTAGTTTGTTGCAAAATTGGAAGCGCTTTAGACTGGGTTTTTTGCCTTCTTTTGGATCAACAGCAAAAAACAAATGTGAGGAAGGCTGAACTTGATGGACGCAAGTCTCTTTTCAGCTATGTAACTATGTAACTATGTAAAGTGAATGCAAAGTGAATTGGGAAAAGTGAATTTGCATGTTATGGCTATAGCAGCTAAACTGGGAAACAAAATTCCTTCAGTCAGTATATGCGCCTAGTTTGGATACTTTGGCCCTCAATTTCAATTTCACCTTGAATTCATTTTGAATTCTCAACATTTCTTACCTGAGTAAATAACCGTGTTAATGTATGTCTATTTCTTGTGTTAATTCTTTCTTTTTGTATCTGTCTTATAGTCGGTCTATTTCATTCTATTCAGACTCACTTTCTGCTTTGTTTTTTGTATTTACCTTGCTACCAGCATTCTTGTTATTATTATCTAAGTGTCTGCAATTTTGTAGAGTTTGAGATAGATATAAATATCAAAGAAGAAAATCTAACAATGTATTTTATATTCCTATGTTCTCATATTTAGTATAAAAAAAAAGAGAAAATGCACACTATGATTGCAAATGAAAAAAAATAAATCAGACTATTTGTGTTTATAATTTACATTTATAGGAACACTATAGCGTTAGCAATACAAAACAGTATTCCGAAAGCTATAGTAATCCCCATAAACCTCACACATTAGGTTCTCTCCATGAGCTCAAAAAAGGGTTAAAAACTCTTTAATTCACTTTTCTGATTCCTGCAGGTTCCTCGACACTTATTCTCTGTCGCCTCTGACGTCACGTCCATGGTGTAACCTAATGTGCAGTGTGCGTGCATTAGGATCTCCCGATAGAAAAGCATTGAATCAACTCTCTAGGGCAAAACTCAAAGGCTAACACGGGCCATGTAAACAAGGTTTAAGTTTATGTGGGCCGCAAAAAAACAAAAACTTAAATGTTCATAGAAACATAGGTTTATTTCAAAAAGTACAGTATAAAAAAAATAATGTATATGGAACAGTGTATGTAGGAGGGCTGCCTGTGGCCCTTGTGCACAGTGTTTGTGGCAAAGCTATGCTTAATGAATTTGTATGTATGATGATTGTCTTCAGGGGTGACTGTGACAGGATAAGTAAAGGGGTAACTGTGGCAGGGTGAGTGTGACAGGGTAAGGGAATGAATGAGACAGGGTTTGGGGGTGAGTGTGGCAGAATGAGGGGGTGAGTGTGATAGGATTAGAGGCGTTAATGTAACATGGTGAGTGTGGCAGGGTCGGGGGGTGAGTGTGGCACAGCTGGAGGAGGGAGTGTTACAGGACGAGGGGAGGTGTGCGTTACAGGTTTGGGGGGGTTATTTGACAGGGTCAGTGTGGCATGCCAGGGGCAGGATGAGTGTAACAGGATTGGAGGGCATGATGTGAAAGGTTGAGTGTGATAGGGTAAAAGCAGATGAATGTGATTGTGTGAGAAAACGTAAGAGTGACATGATTAGGATGGTTTATGTGATAGGATGAATGCGGCATTATTGGTGGGGCTGAGTGTGACAGGAGCAGGAGAGGTTAATGTTAAGGTGGCAGGGTGAAGGAGAGTTACAGTGTGTGTGGGGAGCGGTGACTGTGTGTATTTAGATAGTGGCCGTGTGTGTGGAGAGGGGGTGACTTGGGTGATATTCTTTGTGGAGGGGTGACAGTGTGTGTGGAGGGGGGTAACATATTGTGGAGGAGGGTGACATAGTGTGGAGCTTCGGAGTGATATAGTGTGGATGGGTGTGATATATTGATATATTGTGGAGCAGGGAAGGGGTGATATAGTGTGATGTGGGGATGATATAGTGTGAAGGGGGTAATATAGTGTGGTGCGGGGGGGTGATATAGTGTGGATGGGTGTGATATATTGTGGAGCAGGGAGGGAGTAATATAGTGTGGAGGGGGTGATATAGTGTGAAGTGGGGATGATATAGTGTGAAGGGGATAATATAGTGTGGAGTGGAGGGTGATATAGTGTGGATGGGTGTGATATATTGTGGAGGTAATATAGTATGAAGTGGGGATGATATAGTGTGAAGGTGTAATATAGTGTGGAGCAGGGGGGGATATAGTGTGGATGGGTGTGATATATTGTGGAGCAGGGAGGGGGTAATATAGTGTGGAGGGGGGTTTTCCTTCCAGAAACACCTTTTGTTTTTAGAAATTATTTCCTAATCCATTCCCTGGTGGTCTGGTGGGCAGCTTTCGCTGGTGGTCTGTTTATCTGGTCTGTAGCTACGCCGCACACAGAGCTACAAGCCACATGGTAAGTGTCTTGCGATCTCCAGTCAGAGCACTGCCGCGGTAACCTGCAGCAATGTTCTGATTTGCTGGAGATCTTGAGACACTTCAGTCTGCAGCTCTGCACCTGACAGAGCTGCAGACTGACTATAGTGCTGGCTCTTAGGGCAAACTGAGGGAAGAGCCTCGCACCCGGCAGCATAAATGGCAAGCCACCTGGCCCCCTCCCTACGTCAGGTCCTCGGTCATATACCGAGGACACGATATGTTAGTCTGCCCTAAGGTGATTTAGGTGGCCCCGAGGCCTTAGGCAGCAGTCTAAATCACCTAATTAGAAAGCTGCCTCTGCTGGACTGCAAATATAATCATTGCAGGCCGCATGTGGTCCACGGGCCGCAAGATTGACATGCTTGCTCTGGGGAATTTCAAGACGCTGGATGTCCTTATGGATGTCCTGCATCGTTTCACAGAGTTAGACACAAAGAAAAGCCAGGAATACCTCTAGTGGCTGTCTGTAAGACAGCTTTGAGAGGCTGTTTTAACCTTGCAATGTAAACATATATACACATAAACAAACAGGTACTTGTCCAGGTCTTAAGATTAAATATGGTGATATTTAGTTAGTCATGTCACTGGTTTCTGGTGGGCAAAACATCAGAAATATATACTATGTATGGATTTTCAGTTAGATTTCATTATAAAAGTTTAATTTAAATTAAAATACTATAATTAAACATTGGGTTTTTTAAATATGATCACTTTAATAACTGTTTGGGTCATCTCTTATTGTAATTTAAATGTATTATAACAATAGAAATTTTCAGTAATTTACATCTGAATACAATACAATAAAAATAAAATTACATCAACAGACAAGATGCAATTGTGAGATTTTCAAAATAACAAAAAAATTAAATACATAAAAACATAGGAATATTAAAGAAATCAAACTCTAGACTCTATGTAGGATAAAATAAAATGTATAATTAATAAGCTCTAAAATCTAGGAACAAATACCTATAATTGTTGCATCTTTCCCAATTTGATTTGAAATGACTAATTATATATTAAATATTATAAACTGAAATCCTAAAATTCTCATGTTCTACTAGGTTTTTATATGTTTTAATACCTTCTATAAAGTAAATATTGATACAAGGACATAAAAACAGAGTAACAAAACATTTGAATACATTCTTGCAATGATATATTAATTGTATTATTATTATTATTATTTATAAAGTACCAACATATTATGCAGCGTTGTACAATACCTGGACTAACAAACAAATAGATGCAGTGGGCGTACAGGAACTCAATATGGCAAGGGCATTGCTTATATATTTAAATGTATACATTCCATACCTGTTGAAACAAGAACAGACAGCACACCCAGGATTCCTATAAGAGTGTTCATTTTGAGAGAGATCCCCTCTTTGTGAGATTACTGGAAATACTGATGGCACACAGTGACAGGTTACTCAGTTTATTCATACAGCACTGATAGAGGAGGGGCTAACACCATGACAGCATGGCAATATCAGTTTGCACAATATCAGCAATGTAACTCAATGTATACGCTCTACTTTATTGCATGTGATCAATATGTTATCTCTAAGTTTCCCTAACAGAATGCAATTATGTGCTTTAAGATAAAGAATGGTCATATTTTCCATCATAATGTAATTTATTTATTTTTTCCAAAGGTATAGCAGTTGGGTGCAGTAGGGGCCTTTCTTGATGTTTAAAGAGATACTCCATGTACCATTATCACTAGACTTGCACATTTGGATTTGGCCACATTGTGATTCAGACAAATTCTGTATCTCTGATGTGTCATGCAGATAATTAACCAAGCAAATGACTGCCATCTATGACATTGCTACAGGCGGCCAAGAGGGACATTTATCCCCTCGAGATTATCCACTACCCTCTTCATGCCCCCCATCTAATATGCCACAGAAAAGTAGGGAGGCTTGGTGGACCTCTTAATTAATAAAAAAAAAAGTATGGGTGTATTTATGTCTGTGATTGTGTGTGTGTATAAATGTGATTGTGCATGGATGCAATTTTGTGTGTGTCTGTGATTATGTGTGTGATTGTGATTATATGTGTGTCTGTGATGATGTGTGTATATGTCTGAGATTAGGTGTCTGTTATTGTCTGCATTTGTGTGGTTATGTTTGTGTGTATTTATGTGATTGTGTGTAGATCTGTGATTGTGTGTGTGGGTCTGTTATTGGGTGTTTATGATTATGTGTGTGAGTGAACATATGTCTGTGGTTATGTATGTTTATGAGCGTGTGCACGAAAATGTGTATGTGCTTAGTAGATAGCTCCTTTGGTATCATTAAATTCTGGCATTGCTTTGGTGTCATTAAATGGTAATGCCATATAAGGGTAACAAACAAGGGAGTTGTCTACTAAACAATAGAAAGATACAAATTAAGAAAATGGCATTTCTTAATTTTGATCTTTCGGCTGTTCAGTAGATAACTTCTTAAATTATTACCCTTATGCAGGATTTACATATTTAAGGATACCACATTATGGTGTTTAGAAGATAGTTTCTTTGTTTAGTGTTCTTTAATATGGAAATCTGACATAAACATAGCAATAAGGGGAGTCATCAGCTAAGCAGTTGAAATATCAACATTAAGAGATAATGTTAGCTAGCCCAGAACAAAAATTTGATAAATTATGTGCAACGAGTATATTGTTCCTAGATATTGGTGCGGTGTAAGTGACCTACACCTATAAGTGGAGCGCTCAAACACAGATAAATCTTACCAAAACGTAGTCTCATTCAATGGTAAAATATGGGGTACATGTCAAAATAAAATACAGAAAATACAACATAGTGTAGATGGTACTAAAAAATGGCTTCACGGTGATTATAATAATATTGTGTTGAATATTACACTCACATTTCAAGGAGCCTGTATATAGAAAACACCGGCTCCGTATAAAGGCTTGTGTGCTGTTATGGTAGCACCACCCTCCTACTTCGGCTTGAAGAATTTCTCGAGAATTTCTGAAGAAGCTCTATTTGAGAGTGAAACGTGTATTGGCCATTTTTAAAGGACTTTTATTTGAGGACTTTTATCATCTTTGTTTTTATGTTTATTTTAAAGTAATAAATTTACCATTTTCATTTAATACCTCATCCAAGTTCTTTTTGGAGCCTCCAAGGAATCCTCACAGGGGTAGTGCCATCCCCATTCAAATTGGCACAAAATCCACATACCTACAGCCGGGATTCGTAGGCTCAGGACCAGGTGAGCACCCCATTTATTGAACACATATCTGTGTCATTTATCACCTGAAGTCTACACATCGGTTTGCTTTCTTCTCTTTTTTCGTGTTCTCGAGAAATTCTTCAAGCCGAAGTAGGAGTGTGGTGCTACCATAACAGCACACAAGCCTTTATACGGAGCCAGTGTTTTCTATATACAGGCTCCTTGAAATGTGAGTGTAATATTCAACACAATATTATTATAATCACTGTGAAGCCATTTTTTAGTACCATCTACACTATATTGTATTTTCTGTATTTTATTTTGACATGTACCCCATATTTTACCATTGAATGAGACTACGTTTTGGTAAGATTTATCTGTGTTTGAGCGCTCCACTTATAGGTGTAGGTCCTTGTCACTTACACCGCACCAATATCTACTAAATTTATTCAGTGGAATAGAGGATATTTCCACACTAGTGTATTGAGCTGCCTGTAAATCACTTTTTGACTCTTTTGTGCATTTTTGTTATACACACTCCTCTGTAAACAGAGGCAACCTTTGATTGGTATTCATATTGTTCCTAGAGTTGGACCACTTGGACCCCTGCGACTGTGGGCAACCGGCATAACTTCAGGGTCATGCAGTCACAGGGTGAACAGCAGGAGGGGATGGCTATGCTGCATGGAAGAGCTTTAAGGGAATGAGGCACATGGAGGACATGGGACAAAGGGGATGTGACACATGGGGGGGGCAGGGAATAATACAATTGGATAGGATGGGACACATGTAGGGGCTCGTGGGGGAATGTGACATATGGAGAGGCTTGGGGGGATTGAGAAGGTCTGAGGGTAGGAGAGGGTCTGAGGGTATGAGACACATGGAGGGGCTTGGGAGGGGAAAAGACACACGGAGGGCACTGTGGGGGGAGGGAACGAGACACATGGAGGAAAAAATAGATACATGGAGGGGAGGGGTGAGACACATGGAGTGGCTGTGGGGTGATACACAGGACAGGTTTGGGGGAATGGACACATCATGGAGCGGGGGGAAACAAGACACATAGAGAGGCTGGGGCAGGTAATGACACACATGGGGGACAATGGAGGAATGAGAATCATGGGGGGGCTGAAGGGGGTAATGAGACAAATGGAGGAGTGGGGGGAAGGGATAAGACACATGGGGGGGGGGAGGAGGCAGTGGTTTCTTGTTATGCCTCTGACTAGCACCATGGCCATACGATCAGTATTTGGCTTCCATCTGTGGCCCCAAAAAATGTTTCAGGGAAAAAAAGATGATTGGTGGCACTGCTAAATTGAGACATGAGAAACAGAAGCAAAAAAGGAGAAGCTGTAAAAATACAAAAATAAAATCAATATTTATATATTTTAATAAATAAATAAATTAATTAATAAATATATACATTTTATTCCACTGTTCATCATCTTTTCCCCTCAATTGAACCAAATCAAATGCCTATCAGAGTACTGGAAATAAATTCAGAATATTTATGATATATATATAATTTTATTTTTTTTTGCAGTACACCGATTGGCCTATTGTCAGACACTTTTAATTTGCCAATATGTTTACACCAAATACTTTTCAGGAATAATGTGTTGCCAAGCTCTAATAATACTGATATAAATAGATGAATTAGCATCATTCATCCCCCAACTTGCAGCATCGTTATGAGGAAATATCATATTCCCTGTGTGTCACAATCACACAAGGGACATGCTGCACAATTAGTTATAGGGGAGGACCTATGACAAACTGCCTGCTCTTCTTACAGGAAGCTTGTGCCGGTGTCGGCCTTGAAATAGTTATTTGGCTGGCTGGTTACCTGCCTTCCCCCACCCCCCGCAGGTAAACCGTCTCCAAGGTTATCTGGCTGGCTGGTTATCTGCCTTCCCCCAACCCCCGCAGGTAAACCGTCTTCAAGCTACAAGCAAGGGAGCTAGTAGAATCGGTTATATTGTGTTTGTATGCTTGTGTGTGCCTGTGTGTGTCATTGTCTCATGTGCCTGTCTGTGTCTGTATACCTTTTTGTGTATCCCTGTACCTGTCTGCATCTCTGTTGCCTGTGTGTGCCCTCATGTTTCGATCTGTACTTGTCTTCTCTGTAAATATGTGTGCCTGTCTGTGATATGTGTGCCTGTGTATCAGGGCTGTACTGGGGAAACAATTTGGCCCAGCATATTTAAATCACAGCAGGCACCAAAAGGGGGCGGGCCAGGGAGGGTATGTTTTGTCATCAACAATCACAAGCAAGCCCCTTCTCAAAGTGAGCATGTTGGTTTAATGTTATTCCAGGGCAGCCCATGCACAGAGCCCTGCTGAAGAGCTCTCGAATGAGAAAAACACCCTGAATTTGTTCTGCACAGTGCTAGCAAATCTATTAACATACAAAATACCAAGTAGATAAGCTGGCGCAGACCAAATTATTAAAAACAATACGTGGGTTAATATGCAGCACCAACAGAATATCTAGGTAATATGGTACAGACAAATATAAAAACAGCAAAAGTGCTAGTGCGCAAGAGTATATATACCAAGACACCTTAAGTGTGGAGAAGTGACTCTAAGATGTATATGAGAGAATTATAATCCCCAACAAGAACCATATGTGTCAGACATTGAAAAATTAATGATCAGATGAAGTGATCCTATGATCACGAAACGCGTAAGGCGGCACTCTACATCGATTTCCAGGAGAGCAGGCTGGAACGCATCCAGAGCCGCAGTGGAACGCACGCGGCTGACAGCCAGTTCTCACGCAGCACGAGGAGGTTCACACTCGATTTCATCCGGCCGGTGAGAAAGTTATTTACATCATTTGGACCCTCAGACTGTAAACTTGGCAGCAACTGCTCTTCACATTTGGGAATCTATTTGTCTTTTATATAAAGTGTGTAAGTTTTAGACAGTACATTTATGCTAATAAAATCTTTTATATAATAAGCAATCTGTCGGCTACACTATATAAATGACATAGCATTCTGGATTTCTACTACAGTGGGATAATTTATTTTCCTACCCATTTTATTTATCTTTAAGTGTATTGGTTTATGTATATGATAGAACCTCTACTAGATTAATAATTCAGCTATTTTTTATTTTATTTTCCTTACCCTTTTATGGGAAGAAAAGATACAATTAGCTGATACATTTTCTTGCCTACTGCTGATACTTTGTGAATACACATCGAAGCTACTATTTAAATACCACTTCCACAGAGTCCTGCAATTACTATTGTCTACTCAATAGGCACAAATTTCTTACATTTTTAACCGCAGGTGGCGGCTGTTCCTGCAGTGACACAGTGGTTATGGTAACCATATCGGGTCTCATTGTCAAACTTCAGTAGCTACTCATCAGTGTTTATTGGTGTCTATCTATCAAGTTGCTTTTAACTTATTATTGACAAATTAATACTTATAGCCTGTCAATAGGCATCACTGGTCTCTATGACCTGGGAGACAAAAAAAGGGGAAGGGGAGAGACAGAGAAAGCACTCCTAGTGCAATAAAATTACTAAAATCAATAAAAGCAAAATGTCTCACAACTCACAAGTTGGGAGTGGTATAAGCCCCACTCCTGGCTATCTCGCCCAGGTGTCAGATTAACACAATTTATTGATTGTACAGAAACACTCCAAATAACAGCTTAAAAACAGCAGTGTCCACTGCCAGCTCACCACACCATCTGAAGCCTGATGCCGTGCAGAAAGTTGCAGGTACACAGTTCTCCTTGTTCTGAAGCTGGTGTATCTCGCCGGTGGATATATCAAAACACACCGTGTATGCCGAACACGTGGTCACGTCCCGCCTCTTGGGGCTTTCTCAAATGAGCTTGGTCCCCTCCCACTGAAGATCGTTCTATACATAGTCAGTCCTCAGGCCGTGATCCAATCGGCCTCCAGCATATACAATAGATTAAGTTATCTAAAACTCATGTCTATTCTTGAAGCAGCCAATAAATACACATGTATTGTCTTTACACTAGAGGAAATTCTCAAAGAAGTAGAAATAGCACTACAAAAATACAGCATATGTTCAATACATAATAATATTCCTATGGAAACCTCATTTAAGAAACAGTCACATAACCTTTATGTGTAAACATTATCACAGTTACAAAACAATAGAAAAAAACTAAAAAAGGGGGATGATTATCTAACTCAAAATTAAAAAATTAAAATCCTAATTATAACAACATCCATTGATAAAATCCAATTCAGGCCAGTCAAACAGAATGGCAATGCAGATGATTATCCCGGCAGATGGAACTGGAACCTTAATTTATCCTCCCGGAAATCCCCAAGCCAACCCGTCCGGGTTATAGGCGCGTATGCCACACCATCGAACTGGGGGGAGCAATGTGAAAACAAACGCTGTATTTTCTTGTCCCAGTTAATTTCCCCCCCTGGCTCATTAAACTTGGCTCATTAAATTACCACCCCCTGGCTCATTAAACTTCAAAGAAACCACAGACGTAAGTTCTTTCTTTTATTGGCCGCCATTCATATAACCGAACAACAAGTGCGCTGTAAAACGGCGGCCATCTTGTTGAAATCACGTACGTCTTGTGTCTGGTTATTTTTAGGTAAGCTTATTATAAATAATGGGTGATCCTCATCTATATGGTACCCACTACCATCACACAAGCACTTCTGCTTTTATAAGGGTTAAACTGTACACAAAGCATTAAATATATGTATGTCTGTTAACACTTTCACTATCAAGATAAGCCAATTATTTATTAGATCCTTTGTTCCTTTTTTTTCCTGAACTTAACACAAGAGGTAGCACAGGCCAGGGAGTTTGATAATGAATTTACTGTGTCGTCTTTCTATAGCAGCTCAAATGAACAAACTGGCAAAGCAAGTTTTACCGGTTGGAGTCAGAACATCAGCCTCACAGCTACCAAGCGTTGACACTTTCTGCAGCACCTCTGCAGTATCTTGGTTTTAAGTAAGGAGAACCACAGAGCTGTCACGGAACCTAAGCATTGCCTTAATGCTGCTGTCATATAAGTGCTTAAAAATGATAGACAGCTGGGGAAGGAATTAATATACAGTGCTTTGCAAAAGTATTCACCCTCCTTGACTTTTTACCTATTTTGTTACATTACAGCCTTAAGTTAAATGTTTTATTAATCTGAATTTTATGTAATGGCTCAGAACACTTGCAGAATAGTCTAAGTTGGTGAAGTGAAATGAGAAAAATATATACCTATAACTATTTTTCAGAAATAGAAAACAGAAAATTGGCATGTGTGTATGTATTCACCCCCTTTGTTATGAAGCCCATAAAAAGCTCTGGTGCAACCAATTATTTTCAGAAGTCACATAATTAGTTAAATGATGTCCACCTGTGTGCAATTTTATTGTCACATGATCTATCATTACATATACACACACATTTTTTGAAAGACCCCAGAGGCTGCAATACCTAAGCAAGAGGCACCACTAAGCAAACACTGCCACGAAGACCAAGGAACTCTCCAAATACATGTCAGGGTGAGGTTATAAAAAAAAATCAAATCTTTGATGATCCCCAGGAGCACCATCAAATCTATTATAACCAAATGGAAAGAACATTTGGGCTTTATGGCAGAGTGGCCAGAAGAAAGCCATTACTTTTAGCAAAAAACAAAATGGCACGTTTTGAGTTTGTGAAAAGTCATGTGGGAGACTCCCAAAATGTATGAGGGAAGGTGCTCAGGTCTGATGAGACTAAAATATAACTTTTTGGCCATCAAAGAAAACGCTATGTCTGGCACAAACCCAACACATCACATCACCCAAAGAACACCATCAGAAGTTTTTCTGCAGCCGGGACTGGGAAACTGGTCAGAGTTGAGGGAAGATGGATGGTTCTATATACAGGGATATTCTTGAGCAAAACCTGTACCACTCTGTGCGTGATTTGAGGCTAGGACGGAGCAGCAGGACAATGACCTAAAGCATCTGTCATTCTTCCTTCCGCTACACTTTGTCACGTTCACGATGAGCTATAAATGTGTTTTCCTCTTAACTAGTGTTTTACTGAGTGACATCTGGCACAGTTTATAGGCGGGGTATACCCTTTTTCTAGATTGTCAAGAGAGAACATGCAGTTATAATAACTGACTGCACAACAATATTTGTAAATTAAATTCTAATTGGACTTGTGCCCTCTAGATAACAATTGAGCTAATCTAAACTGGTTGCTGGAAAAAAATATTAGAATTTGAACCTTGTCCAATGTTTGATTAGAAGGAAGCTTGACTTATGTCACCAGCTACAACTTATCTTTTATTTTATTCTAATCTGTATTTATTTGCTATTATCTGCTATCCTTATCCCTTTATTCCTGAACCTATGACACATAGGTATACTGATGGGATGACCTGTCTGTAAAAAATAATTAGTTAAAGGGACACTATAGTCACCCAGACCGCTTCAGGTCAATTAAGTGGTCTGGGTGCCAGGTCCCCCAGGTTTTAACCCTTCAGATGTAAACATAGCAGTTTCCAAGAAACTGCTATGTTTACATTGCAGGGTTAATCCAACCTTTAGTGGTTGTCTTCCTGACAGCCACTAGAGGCGCTTCTGCGACGCTGGATGTGAAATTCGCCCCTTCCGCACCAAGGGAGGGGGCCCTGAGGGTGGGGGTATTCCCAAGGATGATATAGTGTCAGGAAACCGAGTTTGTTTTCCTTACACTATAGTGATCCTTTATTATTTTATTATTATTATATTAATGTACATGCTGTATTGTATAATGCTTCATGTATACAAAAATAAGTACTATGCTCAAAATTCTACTACTCTTCGGCGGCAGCAATGACTACAGTACACATCAGCCCCAATACATAAACATAAAAAAAGAGTTACTTGCGCACTATCCTAACTCCCTATGCACATTTCAATAACTGGAGCTTTTTAATATAACCCCATTGACCACCTGAGTGTAAACTCACTTGCCATGTCAAGGCAAACCCCCTGGGTGAGTCTAGCACTGACAATTCACCTTGCTTCCTTCAGCTTCAGGTAAAACTTATTAACCCTTAATAGGGAGCACATGGGGTGGGCAGCAGCATTGTAACTATGTGATACAAAAACAAATACAAATACACAAAAACAAGTCCTTCGCTCAAACTCCCACTACTCCTGGGCAGAAGCAATGACCTTAGATCATATCAACCCCAACATACAATTAAAAAAAAAGATGAGTTACTTGCGCACTATCCCAAATCCCTATGCACATTTAAATAGCTGGCAGTTTTAGTACCACTCCAAACCCCCAAATAATAAGAACAAAGTAGTTAACCAGGAAAGGTACATTCATGTTACTCTGGTTTTTAAGTACGTCCTGGGGATGTTACCTTAGCCCAACATCCACTTGTTACTATTACCCAATTTAATGGTACTCAACTCATTTTTAGCTACCTCAGAAGGATGACACACTGCCAGGATGCATTAGCCCACTGAGCTATCTCACCAGCCTTACGTTTTTGTTTTAATATAATTTTTATTTCAAAACAGTTTTTCACGAATATTAAAAACAAATACAAAACAAGACAATTAGTTTATACACATACTATTAGAAAACAGTAACTCTATTAATATCTAGTTCCATTATATTATTTCATTTAAAAAAAAAAAGGAGCTGTTCTTTCTCTCTTATCCAACATGTTTCTTTAGTCTGTCTGAATCTTATTCACAGGACAAATACCATTGTAACAAAAAAACAAACGAACAAAGAAACAACACATTGATCCTTGCTCCTACAGAACCAGGTAAATTCCCTTGTTCGTGGGGTTCTTTCTACCAAACAGGAAGCCGTTCGGTAGTTTTTACACACATTGGCGGCAATATAGAGGTCTCACCGCCGTTCGGGAGTTTAAAATGGCCGCCGCCACGTGTTCGTCTATCGAATGGCGGCCACCCAGAGGACAAAGAACACACTACATGAATTGCCAATCACCCTTTTGCAACATTGTTGCGAACGGTAATTGAAGGCACACTTACTCCTGGGGTGGTCTGATTGTTTCACTCGCATAATAACTTCAATGATTTTACTGAACAATCAGCCGAATGCTGCATACACATGGTACAATTTAACCGAACACATAGGAATATACATAATTTTGAGGACAGCCCAATGCCATCAGCTACACAAACTTTGTTTTAAACATTGTATGTAAAACATATATAATGCATGCTGAGTTGATGTTTACTTGCCCCCATGCCTTTTATGTAAATATTGCTCACTAGCAGTACAACAGAATTATAAGGGTTATTCACTAATTCAAAGTGAATTTTACATTTAAGGCTGAAATAACCAAACTAGAAAAATTTATTTGAATTCTCATGTAAGTGAATAACCCTGAAAGGGTATTTCAAATTTAAGGCCAAAGTAGCTGAACCGGAATTATAGCTAACTTAGAGAATGACTCCAGTACAACTATTTGGGCTTTAAATTAAAAATAAAATTCACTTTCAATTCTCGCTTTAGTGAATAACTCTGTACATCTCCTTCAAACAATGGTGCATTGATGTAATAAACAAGTTAATCAATTTTTTGCTTTATTGATTTTTTTAAACTCTATGTAAAATCTGTCCTTATTGTTTGCTTATTTTAATGTTTTTCTACGAGAACAACTTAGCCATCACAATGGAAATAAATGTTGAAAACAGAAAGCCTTGATGAAGACCATCTTTTCCATTAGTGCACACAACATTGACGTTGACATTATATCCACTTGCGGATAGAGCTTGATTCCCAAGAACATCACACATGCTGGTTGTGGCACAGCCACGAAGTCCTTGGGTTAGGGCAAGATTTCCTGTGGATGATAAATATTGCAAATGAAATAAAATATTTACAAACAATCTTGCACTGTAAGATATAATAAGTAGAATTACAGTCTCAGTTGGGAGTGTGGTCACTCATGTAAATAGATATACCCATGACGAAACATGTATGGATATCATTGGGAATATCCAAACATAGCTTATAAAAGTTGCAGATCTCCTGCCCTTCTAACGCCGCCCAGTCTTTCGGTGGCTGTCCAATCACAGGCTTCCCAATGCAGCTCAATGAGAAGTCTTAGCAAGACACAAGCTCTGGACAATTACTCCCTTTTAACCCCATAGTGACTGCATATGTACAGGGTACGTCAGACAAAAAACCATTTGTTAATGACCGCTAACATATCCTGTACGTCCGCGGCACATTTGAACGCAGGAAGCCTCTCTAAGGGTTTTACAGCGATGCCTTGATGTCGAGGCATCCTGCAATAAACCCCCTCACTGCCGGGCCACAGGGTGATTGCTCCCCCAGAGCAATCACTGCCAGGTTGCTCCACATGGCGCCCGACAGTGACACAGAGCATCAGAAGCCATCAGGCAGGCTTCCGATGCTCTGTCTGTGTCCTGAGTGTCTGGAGGGGTCAAGGCACTCACTGAAGTATAAATTAAAGAAAAAAATTTAAATAACATTTTTCAAAAATAAATATTAACCTCCCCTTTCCTCCCTCTCCCCACTCACTTACACAATCGCCGCCGTTCCCTCGCCAGCGATTGGTCTTCCTCTCCAATGGGGGGACTGTCTGACAGCCCAGACAGTCCCCCCCTTGGCTAAATAGTACCCCATGGGCCATGTGATCGCTCTGGCCATAGTGTTCCCCAGCAGGGGGATCGGCGCTATAAACCTCCCAGGCGCAATTCATCCTGGGGAAACTTGCTGCCAGCCAGGAGTAGTGGGAGTCTGAGCTCAGGACTTATTTTTGTGTTTTAATATTACAATCAATCAGATGAATTGAAACAAAATTCTCTGTGTTACGTTTATAGATCACCTGTTTGACTTTAAATCTGTAATTAGTTGGAGATTTCTTGACAGTACACAGAAAATTAGGGAAAATGTGCACCACTAATAATTAATACAACAAACACGTTCTGCACAACACCAACAACATTCACATCTAACAGCTTCCTCCCTGCACTTAGAGAGGGATACTTTACCACCGTGATTTACAATGTATCAGGTCAATTTGGTTTATCTTTTTGTATGTGTAACAGATCACCTGGCACCCCGACTGGGTACCTCCGTTGAAGGATGCTCCTAGTGCTTCCTGAGGACTCCAAGCACTGCAGCAGACACCACAACCACCGAACCAAAGAAGCATACAAATGCTCTCAAGCATTTGAATGCTGTAAGCAGCTGAACAGGAAAAGCATACAATCAGCTTACACTCCTGGCAATCAGCATAAAATCCAATTCCCCCAATAACGAGACGACACTTCGTTTTGAGGTCAAGCAGAACTGACTGTACTGGTACATACAGCCTCTTTTATTCACAATCCACAAACATAGTACTGCCCACAGGGTTTTGAAATACAACCAATCAATCCATACAATACACACAGACACTCCCACACAAAATCCTCCCCTCTGCCTGTGATATGATTACTGAACACAATGGTTAATATAATTATCATAGGCAGAGAAATACAGTATTATAAAACATATCTCAGGGACCCCAAAACATGCAATAACCCCGTATATCCTCGGAACCGGGGGATCTTGGTGAACCACATATCCAAAATTCACACAGATCCGTTCAGTAGTTTGGAAGATACAGTTTAATGCAGATTCCGCAGAACATATACAGGCTATCTGAAAAATAATTCCTGTTTAATGTGTCCCCTGTTGTATAGTTTAAAACTACTGCACAATGTCTTTGTGCACCAAATACCGGCGAGATGGCACCGTGTAGAAAAGTCCAAACAGTGTCTGTGAGTTAAAATGGCCGCCATCCATTGTTCTCACCATGTGCTTCCTCCATTGTTCTCACCATGCGCCTCTGATACATGAAATGGTGGCCACCCAGTAACTCCACAGTTTGTCTGGTAGTCTATCCAGCCGGACCAACAGATGAAACACATGGGGAACAGTGCAACAAACAAAGGGAATCATAAGAAATATGGACAATAGTCATATTTGTGCACAATCTCCAGTTTTGTCACAGGGCACAAATAGTGTTTTCAAATGCCATATATCCCAGGGCCATAGTCAGAAGGTAGGAGGCGGGCAAGCAGCCCCCTCCAAGAACACGTGTCAAAATCTGTTCCGCCACACGTATGTGAATACATTTAAAACATATTATTGGCTTTCCTTATGCAGCATATCCTTGTTATATTAATTGTAACGTTTTAGTTATGTGTGTCTGAACATTTACAAAATACACTGAAACATGTGAACACTAATTCATACTTCGGCATAGCGTCTTCAATGTGATTTTCACTAATTATTGAGCAATTACCAGATATTGTCTCAGACAGGCGAAGGCACTTGTTCTCAGCTCCCGTACACGTCAAAGTAGTTCCAGTGTAGCAATCAGAGGAGTAAGAGAAACAGTTTTGACATGTCAACCCATTTGAAGTACTGTTGGGAGTTATCACTTAGATTTAGAACAAGAAAAAAAAAATAGTATATTATAATATCATTTAATTATAGTAATGACAATAATGCATGCATTGATAAGTTGTTTTAAATGTAAAGTTACATTGAACAGTTATCCCATAATTACGAATACCCTAGGTTATTGATTTTTCTCTACCAAAGCTAATTCTGCACATTTTTTCACCTCAAAGACAGATTAAGCTGAACCTATTTCAATTCGCATATGGTGAGTCAAACAGTAATCAGACTTTTTCTTTTCGGATTAAAAACGTGCTCCTCACCAAAAAGGGCATTTGAGAATATTACTAAATTGCTTGTATTTATGTTTCCCAATTCAGGAGACTTCATAAGTTCAGGAACTATGCATGAGTACTTTGGCCTAAGATTAAAGAGTTACTCCAAACACCATGACCACTTTTGCTTTTACAGTCTACTCTCTGTGTCAGCCCTCTCTCTGTAGCTTCCCTTCCCTCCCCTTACATTATGCTGTCAGCTATCCCTCCTTGTAGCCCTCCTATTTACTTACACTGTTCTCCTGATTCCTCTCCTTGTGCAGTCCTCCCTCCCCACATGAGATTGGACCAGGGACCCTGAAGGAGGCCATGTGGTGAGATCAGAGTAAGTGTGGAAAAGGACCTGAGAGAACTTGGCCCAGCAATGGATTTAAGGCAAGTTTAAAGCTTTATTTATACAGGTTTCTATTTAATAAAACTCAGATGGACCAAGTGACAAATGCTCAATGGGGTATTCTAAAGCCAAAAAACATTAAAAAAAATGGGTTGGAGTAGCCCTTGAATCTTTTTTATGGTTATTTTTGTGGCTGTAATGATACATTTCACAGTATGTGATCTCTTTTAGAATAGGCATACAGTTCAGTGATACACTGCAACATGTTCTTGTATTTTATGGGTTAACTGCATGTCCCTGCAGGTTTATTTGAAAAAAGTGCTGATTTCTAGATAAATCCCCTTAGTAAGCACTCCTGGACAGCAGGGGAGGCGTCCTGCCTGAATCAGTTTGAATGATAGTGATTAATTCACACTGAGAAGCCTTTGTAACAGAACTTCCTTATTAGAAGCAATGTTGATGTATCCCAATGCTTCTGAGAGAGAAGCATCACGTTGGATACAAGTTATCAGTGGTGATGTCTTCACAGAAGCGGGATGAAATCTGCAGAGAGAGAAACTCTTTTGCAATAAAGGGGAGTCTTCTTCATTTTAATTCTGTAAGCACTGACATTGAGGAAACATTAATCTAAACAATTTAAAGAAAACTCAAATTAATTTTTTTTTTTTAAAAATTGAAAAATAAGGCAGCCCCACATAAGGGTACCAAATGCTGGGAGCCATCTAGTAAACATCACCCTAAAATGTGTAAAATTACTCTTCACACTAATCTATACGTTCGATTTAGAAGCTAGGCGGACCTCTTTTCTCTCTCTCTCTTTTCTTTTTTTGTGTACTCTGAACAATCAGCCCAGCCTATTTAGATATATCCTGTTCACTTTGATATTTATATTCTAACTTTTAGATCTGGGCTGTTTCGTTTTTTATTTACTTTTTCTCCCTTTACTACATAGCTATACTACAAGGGGTCGGGTATCTGTGGGTGATGTGCCTGCTGCTTGGGATTGCCTAGGAGATTTTCTCCCCTTTACCTAGGAGGCAGGGGTTTATTTCTGGAGCTGTGTTTCACCCTTAATCAGCTCAGATCTAGTGCAATATCGCATCTTTCCTTTTTGAAGTAACAATTGCAGGATACATTGAACTAGTTATTAGATTTGATAACATTTCTGCTACTATTTAGCAATATACTTCCAATATTGCTACCCTGTCTGCCTCTGCAAGCACTTGTTATTATTCTCGAATTGTGTGGCTGACTTTTATCTAGATTAATTGAGATATCTGGGTATCTTTTTATATATTAGAAGATTCCTTCTGGAATTTCCCTATTCCTCTTTACTTATAACTTATACTTTTGATCCTAGATTTATCTCACTTGTGTAGTCAGCACCTCCCGCCCGGTCTATCTACTATCTATCTTAACGGGCGTTAGGAGCTTGCCACAAACTCCAGGGAAACACAACCTGTCTATTGGATGTTATTCCCACAATAGCAGTTTGACTACATTTTGTGCAGACACTCCAGTTTACCTAAGATATTCGTGCAATATGTTACATTTAAGACACTCCATTAGGACGTGCTATTCAGGCTTATAACTTTGCCATATACGTTATCTTTCACTGTATCTGCCTTGCTGCCTCCCATTTAGGTACTATAGCCCCATAGACCATGGGACACCCCCCTACCCTGGACCCCTTGTTATATATGTAATATATATATATTTTTTTTTCTATAGTCTCTATACGTCTTGCAATAAAGTATTTTTTATTTTTATTCTTATATTGATTACTTTTACCCTACTATTTTCCATTTGTGCAAACCTAGGGTTTCCATACTCTCTAATGTGGGCATACCCTTAGTCAGGGATGCTGTGGTAGATGGATCCTCGCTCCTCTCTCCACACACCCTTATCTTTGGGATTCTCTTTATTATCATTTTCGTTGGGTTAGGCCCTTTCCTTTTGCCCATTTAGTCCTTTTTTGACTTTAAGACTGGATTGTTTCCAGTTTTATAGTCATCATTTTCTCCTTAATCACCCTAAAATGGTATCCTTAAATACGGGTACCAAATGATGGAAGCTCTCTAAACAGGAACTTAATTTATTTTTCTTTAATAGGCAATCCCACATTAGGGATCACATTAGTGGAGCTATATACTAAACAGCCCCTTTGTTTTGTATCCTTAACCCCTTATGGACACATGACACGTGTGACATTCCCTTTTATTCCAGAAGTTTTGTCCTTAATGGGTTAAAAAGTAATCCCACATAAGTATTTACAAGTTAGAGGAGCTATCTACTAAACTATAGTGAAAGATGGAGGTTCAAAATTCTGAAGTGATAATGAGCGAATGTCATTGAAACACATTTTGGAATTACCGAAACAAAAATGAAAGCAAAAAATTATTTTTCCTATGCACATATATAACACAAAGTAGTTTCCAAGAATCACAGAGCGACTTTCTTACATTGCTAGTTTTGACTTGTTACGGACATTATTAAATTCAACAGAGGACTTTATACCCTCCACTGGGCAGGCCTTAATTGGTTTGAACTATAGCTTTTTGCTAACTAACTTCTGGAGATTCTGTCATCTATATGGAGGACTGATACCTATTTCCTTTGGATCAAATGATCTCCATGGCTCAGTGATTGGAGTGGCACACTCTTTGTGAGTTGATCGATATGGGAGTGAGCTGGGAGGGCACATAGTTCAAACATATTACCCTATATGTCTGTTTATTTGTTTTAAAGGTAAATAGAATATTCGGATGAGCATATAAGTATATGCACTTTAGTATTATTTGGACACCATTTATATGTATTTTTGTGCAGGGTGTGAAACATAGAAATTCAGAGACAATACAATTTCTCAGCCAAGGTGCATGTGTATAGCTGAAGGATCCTGCCATATACTAATGGTAGGGATGACTTTTTCATATATATATATACACACACACACACACACACACACACACACAATTTAAAAAAATGCATATTTCCTTTCTAAACTTGATAGAAGGATTATTACATTAAAACTTGTTATAACATAAATAATAGTTTTAAGGTGGCAGCGGTCTTTTGGTACACTTTCCAAAGTAGAGTGTTTCGGAGATCATGATAGTTGCACCAGAACATTATCTGAAGTGCTTTAATTGCTTGTACTATGGTTTAAATTGAAGGTATATATATATCTGAAGACATGTATATTTGTAATTATTGTTTGTTGAGTTACAGTAGATACATACATGTTGGAGTAGCTGGAGTACAGTTGTCAGTGCCACAGCAAGAAGTCCCCACCGAGATAGTTCCGTAAAGAAAGGTTATACTTCCAGTCTGGTTACACTGTGCTGCTGGTGAACACGTTCTAGTAAATGATGCAGTGTACCCTGAAACTGGAATTAAGGAACAAAATGTCAATTATTAGTGTTCACAGTTTTGGCATAAATATCAGTCTCCTAGAAAAAAACATTATAATATTTATCTCACCTACGTTGTTTTGAGTGATGGAAGAGGAACAAAAGTAATTGCCAGAAGGGCAGGTAACGTTGTCCCCAGTGCAAGATGTGCCATTTAATACAAGACATTGTGTGCAGCTGAGAGAATGACCTAGAATACAAAATTAAATCATGTTCGGAAATAGCATTTCAGGGAATAAAACATATCTTAAGTAATTAATTAAAATGAATTAGTTTTTGAATCTTAAACTGGTATGATATAAGATCTAAAACTAAATGAATAATACATGTTTAAAACAATTGGCCAATGATAGTGGTGAATGACGGGAGCCATGCATGTTCCACCAGCCTAAGTCTGCTGCCCAGGTTGGGGCAGCTTGTAGACGTACGTCTGTTAGGATTTGAGAACATCTCACTTGCTTGTTTCCTTATTGTTCTGTAAGTAAGTAGCCAGTTTGTGTATCATCTCACAGACTTCTGCAATTTCTGGCGGTTTTTGAAAGATTAGAACAATAGGCATATCATATATCCTACCCACGATTTTTATTAATTATGTTGGATAGTGCATAGGAGCAAAGTTTCTGAATCCATGCTGGGCCAACATGAATGACATCCCTACCATGTGAAAATGTGACAGAGCTAAAAAACATTTAATAAAACAAAATACATATTTTGAGGGTAAATTAAAAAAGGCATTTGGTTTGGGAGGTAGGTGGTAAAATGCAGGTGCACTGATCATTTGGAGTGTAAGGTTGTAGAGTAAAGGAGTATGTCTGATTGGTTATAGAGCTGTGTGTCACATTGTGAAAGGATAGCTGATGAATATAAAAGTAACCCATGCAAGAAGCCCCATTTAATCTGAAGATTGCAGTTTAAAGGGACAGTTTTACATTCACCCCTGCAAGAAGCCCTATTTAATTTAAAGACTGCAGGTACAGACTGAGAATCAGAAGTCATCTTAGTTACTACATTATTAATTTACTATAACAATGTCACTATTTGTACCTGTAGTATACTACTGTATTATTTTGTACTTGCAGCTACATGTAATTATTAATAATCTGGCTGATAGTATTTTGGTTGGCAAATATTGTGTCTTAGCTCAAAATGACAAATGGCTGGTCTGCTCAACTATTCCCCTCTTCCTCCTCCCCCTCACCCCCTTGACACTCCTAGCCATGAATTCCTTTAAATAACTGTGTTTCTCTTCTTTTTAGGGCCAGTTTTACATCCGCCCCTGCAAGAAATCCCATTTAATTTAAAGACTGCAGTTTAAAGGTACAGACGGAGAATCAGAAGTTATTCTACCGGATTTCATTCATCTTAGTTACTACATTATTAATTTACTATAACAATGTTACTATTTGTACCGGTAGTAAACTACTGTATTATTTTGTACTTGCAGTTCATGAAGTTATTAATAATCTGGCTGATAGTATTCTAGTTGGCAAATATTGTAATTTTATTAGACAAATGGCAGGTCTGCTCAACCATTCCCCCTTCCTCCTCCCGCTCTGCCCCCTTGCCACTCCTAGCCATAAATTCCTTTAAATAACTTTGTTTCTCTACTTTTTAGGTCCAGGTTTACATCCACCCGTGCAAGAAGCCCCTTTAATTTTACTAGGCTCATTTTTATTTTTATTTTTTTTAATGTTATTCTCTTTTCAATCTAGGTCTTTTTTATTCATATTGTTTTTTTCTTAATGTTTTTTTTCTCTGTATTACTTTTATCATAGGTTATTTTTTCCCCCCCACAGGTTCGTACATAGTTCTTGTTCTAATTCGTGTGCAGGTATTCAACTTGCTTACGTTCTAGTTTTACATTCCTATACGTCATACCGTGCATATTGTCTACTAAGTTTTTGAGTTTATTATTTACTGTAATTTCTATATGTTATATCATTGCAATGTGAGCAATTTTATTTATCATACCTGCTTCTTTCTCCTAAAAATATATAAAAATATATATATTAAAAAAAATATATATCCTATTTCCCCTCATTGGGTTCACTTTTACTTTAAAACAACACTGTTTCATTCTTTATCACTAACCCCTCAATTTACCCTTAAGAACCAAACTTCTGGAATAAAAGGGAATCATGACATGTCACACATGTCATGTGTCCTTAAGGGGTTAATGGAGTGGAGATTTGTAGCAAGAGTAAGTTTCCAGCTGTTGCTACTAAAAAAATAGTCACTAACAGAACAGCTCCTTTTTTTCCTCTACGGGAAGAACTTGGTAGTAACTGGCTCCAACTTTCCTGCTACTTTTACCAGCTGCTGCTAAGCCTCCAAACTGACTAATTATTAACAGGTATGCAATCTCATTGTTGGTAAATGAGAAACAATAGATTATCAGTTTTCCATTAATGAAATAGGGATGGGCTGGTGTATCTAATATCACAAGTTTCCCTTTAGTGTTTATTCACTAGAGAGAGCTGTAGTGGATTTAATGTAAAAAGAAATCACTACAAGTCCCCATATACCTGGCTTGCCAAATATCACGGATTGTGTTATTCAAACCTATATACATGTTTATAGATAAGCTATATGGCTTAAACATATTTAACTAAAAGAATAAATACATTTTGTAGGATGCATTAAGAGTTTCAAGTAATTTACTTGTCTTTTTTCCCCATATCTAGGCAGCTGTAATTTTTAATTGGATAGCAATAAGTGCCAGTTTTTACAGATATTATGTTTTATCATCTCCTAGAGAGCAGAATAATCTATTAATTTACATGTTAATTGCTCAACCTTTAACATTTGCTGGGGAGATTTGTTAAGGCACAAACACGTTCCATTCTGTGACAAAGTCCTAATAAGGTCCTAGACTTGGAGATTTGTTTTGCTATTAACTGCAATTAATATGATAACAATATAGTATTAAAACAATATAGTATTGTTAATAGAATTACAATAGGTTTTAAAATATAGTATCCAAAATGGGAGTATTTATATCTTTGTGCTTAAAGGGCCTGTCTTGGTGATATATAAAAGGATTTTCTTAAAATGTAAGAAATTAAGTCAATCTACAATTAATCATACCATTTTGATCAAAACCATTATTGTTTAAAAACAAATTGTTGTATTCACAGTATTTTTGGTACAAAAGTAACTATACTATTAAATAGGATATCTATATTTACAAAACTCCTAAAATATATGCATTATCAATATATAGGTATTTATACATTTGCACTAACACTGTATTCATAGTAAAAGCATAGATTCACTTCATGGCCTTTTACCTAATCAAAATTAATTTCACCATTAATTTCCCAGATGGACCCAAGTGTGGATCTAGTTATTTGGTTTAAATGTAACTGCCATTGTAAAACACAGACTTACCTGCAGCTACCAAAGTAGACAGCACACACAAAAGTCCAAGTAGAGAGTCCATTATGAGCTGATACACAACACTGGCTGAAGATAAATTGTAATGATCCCTTGCAGCCTATGTCCTTATATAGTACACACAGGTATGGGTGTGGAAGAAGGTCATGGCATGTAGAAAAAAATAATTCAAGAGAATTTCAATCGATTCAAGAAAAAAGGAACCATTTAAGCTCAAACAGGAATGACTGGTTTTGCATGTCCAGGTTGGTATGAGTCAGAGCTGTAACTATGGACACACTTACATGTGTTATACTATACCTGTCTATGGACAACACATGGGAGTCAACCTTTAAAGCCTTTATTTTTGAGTCGTATTTTTTGGGGGTAAAATGTTAATTTAAACTATACATGCACTTTAATGTTTTTCTTTAACCAATGTTTTCATTTTATTGTTATTTAAAATAGCTTGATGTGTACATTAGGGCTTTATTTAATGCAATATACCTAGAAAATCTTTTTTTTTTTTTATTTACTCATGTGATGCCTTAGAAACCAGTTCATAAGAAGTGGTTAAATGATCCCATTATACTCATTGGAAGCCATTAAATATATTTCTATACACTAATTTGTGGTTGTTAATGGTGAGAGTTTGGGGTTTGTAAACAGCTGCTACTAGGTCACGTTACTGACAGCCACATTAGTAAGTAGTAGCTGGTTATTAAACTTACCGTGAACTTTTGAAACAATCCCTTAATGCCTAGTGCATGGGTAGGAAACCTTCGGTACACCAGATATTGTGGCCTACATCTCCCATAACACCATTGCAGCCCTAATGCTAGAAAAGCATCAGGGGAGATGTAGTCCACAACATCTTGAGTGTTAGCCTACACTTGGGCTACTGCACTGGTTTCCAAACTCGTCCTCACAATCAACCAACAGTTTAAGTTTTGTCAGTATCACCATTAACATGAAAAAGGAAAATACATAAATCCTGGATTGTTGGTGGGCCATGAGGACTGGTTTGGGAACCATTGGTCTAGTGTATGATGTTGACAAAGCAATTCTATAAGAAAAGGTCATGACAAACATGAAACATATTGGACAGCTCATCCTTTACATCAGTACTATGTTCTTCTCTGTTTTGGTGGCAAGAAAATTGTCAAATTAAAAAGTGACTTTTATTTTTCAAGCTTCCTGGCAGAGCATTGGCTCACTGGGATTCACAGACCTAATTTTAATTAATTTAACCTTCTTTTATCAAAATGTACCTATAGTAAGAAGGTATACCTATACATTATGAATATGAAGATAGTCTGATGTGTCAGTAATCTTCCTTTCAATCTCCTTTGGTATAATACGTGCTACATATTAGTTAGTACATGGAAATAATTACTTTTGAGGATACACTTCTAGGAGTAGATAATACATAAAAGGCTTAAATATATATGTATGTGTATCTTATTGGACACTGTGGATTTGTTTAATGTGTAAAGAGTAATTTTTTTAAATTAATTGGTAACATTCCTAATATTTACTTTATTCATCTGACCTGACTTTATTAATAGATATTTAAAGGATCACTATAGTGTCAGGAAAACAAACACGTTTTCCTGACACTATATAACCCTTAGGTCCCCCCCACACCCTCAGGGCCCCCCTTCACTGGGCTGAAGGGGTTAAAACCCCTTTAGCAACTTACCTTAATCCAGCGTCGGACTCCCTCGGCGCAAGTAATCTCTCCTCCCACTCTGACGTAAGCTCCCGAGTGGAGTGAAAAGCGCATGTGCGGTCAAAGGTGTGAGTGCATTAAAAACACCCATAGGAAAACATTTCTCAATGTTTTCCTATGGAGGTTCTGCACACTGAATGCGATTTTCGCATTCAGCGTTGCAGAAGCGCCTCTAGTTTCTCAGAAACTGCTATGTTTACATCTGAAGGGTTAAAACCTGGGGGACCTGGCTCCCAGACCACTTCATTGATCACTTCACCTTCAAACATGCAACTGTAACCCCAATTCTAAAGAAGTCCAACCTTGACCCTAACTCCCCATCCAACTACGGTCCTATCTCGCTACTGCCTTTTGCATCCAAGATCCTTGAAAGAATTGTGTATGCGAGATTGACAGACTTCCTTGCGTTCAACTCTCTGCTAGACCTGCTTCAGTCTGGTTTCTGCGCTAAGCACTCTGTGGAAACTGCACTGACAAAAGTATCCAATGATCTACTCCCTGCAAAATCTCATGGTCACTACTCTATCCTAATTCTCCTTGACCTGCCTGTGGTTTTTGACACTGTTGATCATCAACAGCTTCTTCTCATCCTCCGCAAATCAGTCTATAAGATATTGCTCTCTCCTGGTGCTCCTCCTATCTCTCCCAGCGCTCTTTCAGTGTTTCTTTCTCTGGCTCTGCTTCTTCAACCCAATTCCTCTCAGTCCTTGGTCCCCTACTGTTATTCATCTATACTGCCTCCCTTGGTAAACTTATTAGCTGCTTTGGCTTCCAATATCATTTCTATGCAGATGACACGCAAATCTACCTGTCCTCTCCTAATCTCTCCCCGTCCCTCTTGCAGGGCCGGTGCAAGGATTTTTGCTGCCCTAGGCAAAAGTAAAGTTTGCCGCTCCCCCCCCCATGTGACATAACAATGCTCTACCCATATGATCTGCCATGTTAACTAACGCCAGTGCTGCAGTGCCGCCGTGTTTACATTATAAGGCATGCAGGGACAGGCTATAGACACCAGAACAACTACATTAAGCGGCAGTGGTTCTGGGGACTATAGTGTTTCTTTAATGTGAGGTAAATTAGAGATTAGTGCCATGAATAATATACTAGATTGCCTACTTACAACGAGATGAGGATGATGATGGGCTTTAGCTGCAGTCTGGCTCCACTGGTCTGGTGTAGAACAGGCTCTCTGGAGGCTGTTTGTAACTGTGGTCACAAAAATCAATGTTCTGGGAGAACGGTAAGAAGCTCCATTTTTTGGGGGGCCCTTTACACAGTTCAAGGTCTGGGTCCCGTGGTCCACCTTCATGTTCCACCAATGAGTTTGTTCACAGGGGGTGGAGTGTGTAGGGGATGTCCTGATATGTGTGTAAGGAATGCATTGTGTGAATCTGTGTTTGTATGTGTAAGGGCTGCAAGGTGTGTTTCTGTGTATGTACAGGATGCAGTGTGTGCGTCTGTAAGGGGTGCATTGAGTGTGTGTAATAAGGAATGCATTGTGTGTTTCTGTGTGTGTAAGGGATGCATTTGTGTAAGGGTTGCATTGCTTGTGTGTGTGTGTCTGTGTGTGTAATGCATGTGTGTTTTTCTGTGTGCAAGGGGTGCATTGCATGTGTGTGTGATGGATGTCAATCTCTCCCCCCTCCCTTGTCACTCTCTCTTTCTCCAACCCCCTCCTTGTCACTCTCTCTTTGTCTCCCCCTCCTTGTCACTCTCTTTCTCTCCCCCTCCTTGTCACTCTCTCTTTCTCCCCCTCCTTGTCACTCTCTCTCCCTCCCCTGTCACTCTCACCCCCGTCAATTTCTTCTCCCCCCCA